TGGGTAGCCATTCACATCTTATAACTGGTGTAGTTTTACTGAGAACTCACCAGACCAATGAGTTTCTTTGATCCTGAAACATTAAGATATAGCCAGGTGGCAAAAGCACTGCGGTGCTTGAAGGATCTAGTCAGGTTCCTCCAAGTCACAATAGCAGCAGTAGGGGCTGACACATGTCATGTTCCAGGTACCATTTTAGGTCCCTTATTAATACATGTATATACAGTGACTCACTTAATCTTCCCCAAACCCTATCATGAAGCAACTATTATTATCCCCATTTTAGAGATTAGAAAACTGAGGTATGGGGAGATTGAATAACTTGCTCACAATAATACAGCTGATAATGGGATTCAAACTAAGGCAGTCTAGCTCAGAAATCTATTCTCCCAACCCCAACACTATATTAGCTCAATGAGCAGAAGATGTATAGTGATGGTAATTTTGGCTAAGAACGTAGGGAATATGAGGGAGAAGAGGAATGTGTCCTTTCACAACCAATTACTCCAGTGTCAGGCTCTGGGATGCCCACTGGGTTCATAAGTGTCCTTTAAAGGTATGCAACATAACTTTGTAGGACTCCTAGACCCAGAGGGCCTCTTTGACTGTCTTGCATTTTTACTTCACCATGGAGAGGGGGAGATTTGTTTCAGTTGACTACATTGAGCTCGAAATAGAATCCTCACCACCCATCTCAGAAAGTGGGCTTCCTGCCCCCCAGGGTGACTGAGGGTCTGCTGGCTCCACCTCCCAGGTGCCTTTCACAACAGCAGCCCAAGCTAGGAAAACCAGTGAGACCACTTATCTAGGGTGTATTTGGCAGGACTTTAAACCTTCAAGGACTCCTGTACCCCACCCAGGACAGGCAGAGGGCATGGCATATGTAAACATTCAGGAGTGAGAAAAAGGCTTGTCCATGGAGAGGGTGAGCATGATGGTTGATGGAAGGGTGTGTGAGAAAGGAGAGGAAAAAGAATGGAAAAGTATTCTGGGTCTACTTTTGGTCATGAAAAGCCTTACATCCAAAGTAGAGAAGTTTGATTCTTTTTCTTCTATAGGCAGTGGAGAGCCATCAAAGGTCATGCTGTATTTGTTAGGTTTACAGTTTCACTACTTAAGAAGCTGGGTTTTTGTTTTTTACTTTAGTTGCAGATACTTCTCAACAATTAGGAAACACTGCCATCATGTGGCTTTTGAGTGATGCATGCTCCAAATGATAATTTGCCAAACACTCTGATACTATTTAATAATGAAACCAAAGAACACATCTCTTGATTCAAATAACTGAAGTAAAGCAATGGTGACCTTAATTCTAATGTAAAAAGGATACTTTTACTAAAAAGTTTTTGTACAGCAAAGGAAACAGACAAATGAAAAGACAATCTACTGAATGGAGAACATATCCCCAAGGATACATTTGATAAGGGGTTAATATCCAAATTTTATAAAGAACTCATACAACCCAGCACCAAGGAACCAAACAATCCAGTTTAAAAATGTGCAGAGGCCCAGACGGTGTGGCTCAGTAGTTTAGCATAGACACATAGACCAAGAAGAGGTCACTGGTTCGATTCTGGTCAGGGCATATGCCCAGGTTGTGGGCTTGATCCCCAGTAGGGGCATGCAGGAGGTATCCAATTGATCTCTCAACAATGTTTCTATCTCTCCCTCTCCCTTCTTCTCTCTCTAAAATGTCAATAAAACATATTTTATAAAATGGGCAGAGGACCTGAATAGACACTTCTCCAAAGAGGACATACGATGGCCAATAGACATATGAAAAGATGCTCAACATCAATAATCATCAAAGAGATGCAAATTAAAACCACAATGAGATATTCACCTCACATCTGTCAAAATGGCTATTATCGGTAAATCAACAAATAACATGTATTGGTGAGGATTCAGAGAAAAGAAAACCCTTGTGCACTGTTGGTGGGAATGCAGATTGGTGCAGCTACTGTGTAAAACAGTATGGAAGTACCTCAAAAAATTAAAAATGAAACTGCCTTTTGACCCATTAATCCCACTTCTGAGAATATATCCAAAGAAACCCAAAACACTAATTTGAAAGACTATATACACCCCTATGTTCATTGCAGCATTATTTACAATACCCAAGATCTGGAAACAGCCCAAGTGCCCATTAATAAATGGGTGGTTTAAAAAGCTGTGGTACATTTACACAATGGAATACTACTTAACTATAAAAAAGGAGGAACTCTTACCTTTTGTGACAGCATGGATGGACCTAAAGATTATTATGCTGAGTGAAATAAGCCAGTCAGAGAAAGACAAATACCATATTCTCTCACTTATATGTGGACTTTAACGAACAAAATAAACTGATGAACAAAATAGAAACAAAGGCATGTATACATGGAACAGACTGACAGCTGTCAGAGAGAGGGGGGTTGGGGGGCTTGACGAAAGAAGGTGAAGGGATTAAACAAAACACACATACATCACATAGACACAGACAAAAGTGTTGTGATAGCCAGAGGGAAAGGGGGATGGGGGTAAGTGGAGGTGGCAATGGGGGACAAATGGGGATGGAAAGAGACTTTGCTTTGGGCAATGGGCACACAATGTTGACTTGTATACTTGAAACTTGTATGGTTTTTGTGAACCAATGTCACCCCAATAAGTTCACTTTTTTAAAAGCTCTGGTACACACACACACACACACACACACACAATGGAATGTTACTGGTCATAAAAAAGAATGAAATATTACCATTTACGACAGCAATAGATGGATCTAGAGGGTATTATGCTAAGTGAAATAAGTTGATCAGAGAAAGACAAATACCATATAATTTCACTTATTTGTGAAATCTAAAGAACAATATAAATGAACAAACAAAATAGAAACAGACTCATAGGTACAGAGAACAGACTGATGGTTGCCGGAAGGGAGGGGAGGGTTGGGGGACTAGGTGAAAAAGGTGAAGGGATCAAGAAGTACAGATTGGTAGTTACAGAGTAGTCAATGGGGATGTAAAGTACAGCATAGGGAATATAGTCAATAATATTGTACTGGCCCTGGCCAGTTTGGCTCAACAGTTAGAGCGTCGACCCATGGACCAAAGAGTTCCAGTCAAGGGCACGTACCTTGGTTGTGGTTCGATCCCAGCTGTGGTTGGGGTTCTGTCGAAGGCAACCCATGTGTCTCTCTCACATTAATGTTTCTCTCTCCCTCCCTCCCTCCCTCCCATTCTATCTGAAAATCAATGGAAAAATATCCTCAGTGAGGATTAAATAATAATAATGATAATATTGTACTGTGCATGGTGCCAAGTGGGTATTGAAAATATCAGGGGTAACATTATGTAAAATATATAATTTTGCCCTGGCTGGGTAGCTCAGTTGGTTAGAGTGTTGTCCCAGTATGCCAAGGTTGTGGGTTTGATCCCCAGTCAGGACACATACAAGAAGCAACAAATGAATGCATAAATAAGTGGAACAACAAATCGATGTTCCTCTCTCTCTCTCTCTCTCTCTCTCCCCCTTCCTCTCTCTCTAAAATCAATGAAAGAATAAAAAGGTATGTGATTGTCTCATCACTATGCTGTACACCTAAAACTAATACAAAATAATATTGAATGTAAATAAAAAAAATGTTCCGCCATCTTTTAGCAGGATGGTTTGGGCAAATCATCTAATCTCTGGAAGCTTCGATTACTTCATCTGTAAAATGAGGATGACACGGTTTTCACACACTTTGATTAAATTAAAAAATCTATACATTGCTTAGAATTGCCAAAATTACATTAAAGGTAATCTAATTTAAAAATAAAACATTTAAAAAGGATACTTTTCATAAAGTTTTTCAAGAAATCAATACCTGAGCCCTGGCCAGGTAGCTCAGTTAGTTAGAGCATTGTCCCCATATGCCAAGGTTTCAGGTTTAATCCTGGTCAGGGCACATATAAGAATCAACCAATGAATGCATAAATAAGTGGAAAAACAAATCCCTCTCGTCTCTCTCTCTCTCCCTCCCTCCCTCTCTAAACTCAATAAATAAATTTTAAAAATTGTAATTAAAAAAAGAAATCAATACCTGGGTTTAATTCTTGGATTTCTTACTTTGTTTTAAAAATTCTAATCTCTAAATCTTTAGTGATTCTGATTGCAAAGATCCTTTCTATTCTTTCAATGCCCTCTATCTTAGAATCATAAATTCTCTGGCCTTAAAAAGGCTCTGCATTTCCAGGCCAGTTTGGCACCAAAGTGTCTCCAGGCTGGTTCCCTCCACTATGGCAGATTCTATTTCAGTCTTAGGTCTATTCTCCTTGTGTGGTCCCACAGTTAGACAGACCCAACATTCAAATACATACTTCCACCATCTTTTAGCAGGATGGTTTGGGCAAATCACCTAATCTCTGGAAGCTTCAATTACTTCATCTGTAAAATGAGGATGACACGGTTTTCACAGGGTTATTGTGAGAATGAAAGATGATGTGTGATGAGTGCCTGGCACATCCCAGCTCCTCAGAATAGGGGAGACCCTCTTCCTTCCCCTAAGTCCTTGAGGGCGTATTATTGCTGAGCACACAACAAGCACTCAGTGCAGGTCTGTGATTTGATATCCAAGATTTACCTGGTCTTCCAGCAACGTTTTCTGAAAACAAAACTACTCATCCCTCAGGCCTTGGAGGAACCACCCCTGTTTCAGTGCATTGCTACCGACCTTGGGCTTGCTGGGGATTGCAGTCCTCCTTTCGCTTCCGTGAGCAGCAGGCAGCAGGCAGCAGGCAGCAGGCAGCAGGTGCGTGGCTGTGGGCGGGCATCTGTGGCATTCATTCCTGGCTGCTCCCTTTTCGGGGGCATGGGCTGTGTGTGTGCATGTATATAACTTAATCCCTGTGGGACTCCTTGTCTGGCCTCACCCTCGGCTTGGCTGATTGGCTGTCTCAGCTGGCCCCCGCCCTTCCCACCACAGCATCCCAGGTGGCTCAGCTTCCCTCCCCTTCTCCGTGATCTGTGTTTACCAAGAGAGCCTGTTCAGGTGGGGCGCCATCTCTGCACTGGCTCCCCTCGGCACCCCACCCCCGCCGCCTAGAAAGCGGGGGAAAAACCAGGCCGAGCCATTCCAGACCCTTTTCCCCACAATCCGGAGAGGTCGGGTAAGGGTGAGGGGTGGGGGTGGGGAGAGGTTCCAGGTCAGGGGTATCCCCTGTGACCCAGTCCTCAGTATCTCGCCGGTAACTCACTCCAACCCAGGAGTTCCATCCCTAGGACCAACCCCCGTTCCCTCTGCCCCCACTCTGTCGGTTCAGGGTGACATGCCCTCCCTGGGAAAGCAGCCAGAAGCTGGATCTTAGGTTCCTAGAGGGGGCACAGCCATGGAGACTTCATTCACAGGTGTTCCTTTCTCCTCCAGACGGTGATGACCTCCAAGCCTGCTGGAACCCCGGATGGGGGCTGGGGCTGGGTGGTGGCAGCCTCAGCCTTCGTGGTGAATGGACTCTCTTACGGGCTGTTACGTTCCCTGGGCCTTGCCCTGTCTGATATCTCCGAGCACTTTGACCGAACCTCTCAGGACACAGCGTGGGTCAGCGCGTTGGCCCTAGCGGTGCAGCAGGCAGCCAGTGAGAGGGACACCGAGGTGGGGGGCAGGAACCAGGGTGAAGGGGTCGTGAGTGTAGTGATGGGGGACCCACCTGATTACCAGATAGTCCGAGAGAGGAGGACGGGTGGCGCCAAGTTCTAGAAAGAAAGATCTCTTACCCTTTGAGGTGACCAGGAGGGACCTGGAGGGCGTTATGCTAACCGAAATAAGCCAGAGAAAGACAAGTATCACATGATCTCGCTTATTTATGGAATATAATGAACAAAATAAGCTGATGAACAAAATTGATCCAGAGACAAGGAAGCAGGGAACAGATTGACAAACCTCAGAGGGAAGGGGGTGGGGGTGGGGCGGGAAAAGATAAACCAAAGAACTTACATGCATAACCAATGGACACAGACAACAGTGCATGAAGGGGGGCGGGGCACAGGGGACGGGATGGGGAGGAGGGTGTCAATGGGGGGCGGGGGAAGGAGGGACATTTGTAATAGAAAATAAATTTTTAAAAATTAATAAATGAAAGAGTGGGTTGAGGTTAAGAGGAGGCGCTATTAGGCTGGAGGAAGAGTTTTAGGCCAGGCGAACAGCCAATAAGAAGTGTTGGAGTGAATTGGTGGGGAGCAGAGCGTGTCTTCTGTTGACTCCTCTGCCTTCTAGGCCCAGTGGGCAGTGCCCTGAGCACCCGCTGGGGGGCGCGCCCTGTGGTGATGATTGGGGGCATCCTCACCTCACTTGGTTTCGTCTTCTCGGCTTTCGCCGGCAGTCTGCTGCACCTCTACCTTTGCCTGGGCGTCCTTGCTGGTGAGGAGAGAAAATACTTCGAGGGTGCATAAGGGGTGATGGTGTAGATAGGAGCTTGTTGGGGGCTGGAGGCGGACTGTCCGGAGACGTCGCCCTTCGAAGAGCATGGCTGGCATTGCTGGGCCAGGCATTCCAGGTTCCCGTATTCACCCAGTCTTATCTATTCGCAGGCTCCGGCTGGGCCCTGGTGTTCGCCCCTGCCCTCGGAACCCTCTCTCGTTACTTCTCCCGCCGTCGAGTCTTGGCGGTGGGGCTGGCACTCACGGGCAACGGAGCCTCCTCGCTGCTCCTGGCGCCTGCCTTGCAGCTTCTCCTGAATACTTTTGGCTGGCGGGGGGCCCTGCTCCTCCTTGGCGCCATTACCCTCCACCTCACCCCCTGTGGTGCCCTGCTGCGACCCCTGGAGCTCCCTGGTGACCCACTGGCCCCACCCCGGGGACCCCTAGCTGCCTTTGGCCTGGGTCTTTTCACACGCCGGGCCTTCTTAGTCTTTGCTCTAGGAACTGCCCTGGTGGGGGGCGGGTACTTCGTCCCCTACGTGCACTTGGCCCCTCACGCTTTAGACCGGGGCCTGGGAGGGTATAGGGCTGCACTGGTAGTGGCGGTGGCTGCGGTGGCGGATGCGGGAGCTCGGCTGGTCTGTGGATGGTTGGCTGACCAGGGCTGGGTGCCCCTCCCGCGGCTGCTGGCAGTGTTTGGGGCTCTGACAGGGCTGGGGCTGCTAGCCGTGGGGCTTGTGCCGGTGGTAGGAAACGAGGAGGGCTGGGGGGTCTCCCTGTTAGCCACGGCTGGGGTCTATGGGCTGGGCGCCGGTAGTTACGCCCCGCTTGTTTTTGGAGTGCTCCCTGGTCTAGTGGGCATCGGAGGTGTTGTGCAGGCCACGGGTCTGGTGATGATGCTGATGAGTCTCGGTGGGCTTCTGGGCCCTCCCCTGTCAGGTAAGGGCCTGAGCCAGTAGGCCTGGTGGCCACCATCCTTTGTCCCTGGGGTCCAAGGCCTCTAAATTCCTTTCTCTTTCCTTTCAGGCTTCCTAAGGGATGAGACAGGAGACTTCACCGCCTCCTTCCTCGTGTGTGGCACTTTGGTCCTCTCAGGAAGCTTCATCTACATGGGGCTGCCGGGGGCCCTGCCCTCCTGCAGTCCAGCTGCAGGTCCAGCCACCCCTCCCCCTGAGAGGGGGGAGTTGCTCCCGGTTCCTCAGGCTGCCCTGCTGTCCCCAGGGGGCCCTCACTCCACTTTGGACACCACTTGTTGACCATTTTATTTTGGTTTGAGCCCTTCCTTCAATAAAAAAAATTTCCAGTTTTCCTGCAAGCTCCATTTGTTAGCCAATCTAGGACACTGAAAACTATCTACTTAAGATATTCAAAAGGCTGCTTGGAAGGAACAGGATCCCACTAAACCCTGGCGAGGGGAAGGATATCTGTCTGTCCAGCCAGTTCATTTCTCTTTGCCCAAGTTGTTGCCTTTATAACAGGGAATCTTTGAGAAGTGTCTGCCTATCAGCTTCAATTTGTTTAGGGTTGAGCGAGGCTCATGGGTGCGATCTACCCCATCCTCATTTCCTTTACTCAAAACTTGTCCCTGTATCTCAGTCTCCTACTAGTCTGGGGGTAAATACAAGAATCCCAGACCCAGACTTAGGCTCTCTCATCTTTAGCTCTCCCTACCAAACTACATCACCACACCGTGTCCCCCATTCTCTTAATTTCTTTTCTAAGTCACAGGGGATAGTGGGAAAGAAGGAAGTCAGTGGGCAAGTGGGAGGAACTGTAGTTCATAGAGGCAGAGTCCAGGGTTAAAATGCTGAGTCACCAGGGCTCCTGGACACCTCTCCTCCACCCCCCAGCATTGACCCCGTTCAACCAACCCAAGCATATGGAATCCAGTTCTTTCTGAGATTCTGATTATTATCCAGTTTCCTTATTCAGAAGGGGCATCCCTCTTTCCTAAACATCTGTCTTCAGAGAAGAAACTTAGTAGGCAACACTAGAGATCACTTGTAAAACATAATAAGTCGCTTGGCCTTTGATTTTCACAGTTGATTCACAGCTCAGCACAGCAGGCTGAACTCTTGGATCCTGCAGAAAAGGTTGTAGAAGCAAAGAAGAGATAGGAGTCCTCAACAAAATACAAAGGGTTGGCACACACATCACAGGAGCCCTGGGCCTGCTGTGGTGGAAAATAGATCAAGATGCTTAAGGCACTGTGGTTCTGTGGGCACCAACATGGGGCAGGAGGAAAAGACCTGGAGCTGCCAAACTGACTTTCATAGTCTGTCAGCCAGCTCCCTTCTGGAGTTCAGTCCTACCCCAGCCCTTCCTTGGGCACAGGGACTTTGGTATCCAGTGCCTCTGTGACAAGGTCCTGTGGCTTGGAGGTAGGAGCTGAGAAACAGAAGAAGTGGGGTAGAGTGATGAGAACTCCACTTCCCGCCAGAAGGAAGGTCCCAGCCACCACAAAAGAAGCTGTGTAGTTGCCTGTCACATCCCGGAGGTAGCCTACATCCAAGAGAGAATAAGAATACACGTGGGTGATCTGTTTCCTGGGACTGATGGCTCAGACATATTTCTGGGTGGAGGGAAAAAAACAGTCCTTAACCCACCATCTTGGAAGAGTTAGAATTCCCATTGTAGGACTGGATGAGTTTGAGAACTCTGGTTTCCCAAGGGGCTTCAAATGGTCATTTCAATCACCTTCCTGCCTTTAGAAAGGACCTCCAAATCAGCCAGTGGAAATTTGGGGATCCAAACCAAGTCAGGCACATCTGTGCCTTTCTTTCTGGCAAATGTGGCCCTCCCATCCATGCCTTCAGTTAATAGTTAAAAGGAAAACATTAAGGGTCTGAACCTTCTGGCATCTGGAAGCTGGAGAACTTTGACCACATGGCTCAGACATCTGAACCGGGGCCAAATGGGCCAAGGGAAAGGGCATATAGTGACAGTCTGGCAAGGCCCAGCCAAATCTGAAAACCCAAGCTACAGGTATCCTACCAAGGGTTCCACATAGCTCGTTTTAGTTTTGCCACAGCCCCAATTTCTTTGTCCCATGATCCCACTTCAGGACTGCTATGATTAGTAATACAGGCTGTGTAGTATACCATATCATGCAGTATACCATATCAGAAGGCAATATTTACACTCACTATAACAGGAATAATCCCCTCCCTGAATAATATGACATGGCATCTCTGGCCCACCTGGAAACCCCGTTCCTCTTACCTGACAGAGGAGACCCCAGAAGTCCCCCGATGCTTTCTACCATCTGCACCAGTCCCAAGCCACAGTATATCCTTCCAGTCCCCACCAGTTCAGGCAGCATGGAGAAGGCCAATGGGGTCAGGGCCCCTGATGTAAAGCCATAGGCCACGGCCAGAGCCACCAGGGCTGCGGGAGCCTGAGCCACGGGGAACAGGGCCAATGACACCCCAGTCAGGGTGGTCCAGAGCACCAGGAGTCGTGCCATAGGCCCTGGGACTGCATCCCCTAGCCACCCAGAAGCCACACGCCCCACAAGGTCAGAAATAGCAATCACCGAGAGTAGGAAGGCAGCAGGTAGTGGATCCCAATTAAGGTCCTGGAGATGGGCCACCAGGTGCACATAGGGAATGAAGTAGCCAGTGTTGATCAGGGTGAGGGCAACAGTGTAACGGAGGAAGGGGCCATGATGGAGGAGGGAGGCAAGTTGGGCCCCAGGACCACCCATGGCAGGGTCCTCAGTCAGGGAGAGTGGGCGGAGGAGAGCACCACAGGCCACCAGGTGGAGGGAGAGGGCAGACACCAGCAGTAGGGTGCCCCGCCAGGCATAGTGGCTGAGCAGCCATTGGAAGAGTGGGGCAAAGGCAAAGGAGGAGAGGCCCACGCCAGTCAGTGCCAGTCCCATGGCCAGGGATCGCAGGCGGGAGAAATAACGAGACAGACAGGCCAGTGTTGGAGTGAAGGTCAAGGCCCACCCAGAGCCTGTCAAAAAAAAAAAAAAAAAAAAGAAATGGTGGTTGGGGGCTCTTAGGGAGCTCAGGGCACCCAGTTATCCCAATACTGCCCAGTAGCAGAATGTAGCACAGGTCTGGTTACAATCCTAGCTTTGATACTTTCTAGCTATATGACTTAATCTCCCAGCTTCTATCTCCTCTTCAGAAAAAGGGTGGTGATATACTTTATGGGACTGTAGAGGCTTAGAGATAATGTTTTTAAAGTAACTAGCACAGCCTGGCCACTGTGGTTCAGTGGTTGAGTGTCAACCAAGCAGTCACCCGTCTGATTCCCGGTTAGGGCACATGCCCAAATTGTGGGCCAAATCCCCAGTGGGGGGCATGCAGGAGACAGCCAATCCATGTTTCTATCTCCCTCTCCCTTCCTCTCTCTCTAAACTCAATGAAGAAAAAATAAATAAAATTAAAAAGATTTTAAAAAATTAAGTAACTAGCACAGATTTTGGAGTTGCACCTGGGCTCTACCAATTCCGGCAGTGTGATCTGTATTTGCCAAGTTCCATAAACGTCTCAAGCCTTGCTTCATCTGTAAATAGGATAGATATCTATTTCACAGTCACAGTACCTGACATAACTTCATAGGATGTAACTCTTTCTTTTACACAACAGTCCCACTAGCCCCCGGCTCCCATATTCTGGACTCATTATCTCTGAATGTTCTAATTACCCCACCAAATTTATTAATTTAGTCATCCCTCTTAATTCCCCTTGGGGCACAGGTGCTACTCAAAACTTTCTCTCAGCTTCTCTCGAAGTCTTTCGGAAGGATCAGGAGGAAGGTGATAGTCCAGAGGCCAAAGACTCAGGCATTTGACTTTCCTGCCCCTACCCAGATTCTCACCTGAGAGCAGCCCAATACTCAGGTACAGGTGGGTCAAGGAGGTAGCAAAGGATGCGAGCAGCATTCCTAGAGCTGCCAAGATGCCCCCAGCCATCACCACGGGCCTTGGTCCGAACCTCGTGCTCAGGGCACTGCCCACTGGGCCTGGGGAAGAAGGATTTCTGTGAGAAGACCTCAGGCATTTTTTCTCCAGCATCTCCATCTTCACCCTCCCCCTTTACTGTCTCCGCATTCCCTCTCCCTTCCGAGGGTCGTAGGACGCCGGAACCAGGCTCAGCACTCACTTCCAAACTGCTGCACCGCGATTCCTATGGAAGCAATCCAGGACACGCGCGCTGCCTGCTCGTCAAACGCCGCCACAAACTCCACGAAGAAGATGCTGAAGCAGCGGAGCACCCCGAACACTAGCGCGGACTGGAAGAACGCCGAGAGCACCACCATCCATCCCCAGCCCCCGTCGGGGGGCTCGGCCCTACGAACCATCTGGGAGGTATCAGAGCGGCCGCCACTAACAGCCACCGAGGAGCAAAGCTCAGGACGCTCCCCTTCTGCCCACCCAGCCAGCCGGATCGCAGCCGGCCGCGCGGAGGGAGGACAAGGTGGTGAAGAAGAAGGTACTGGCGAGGGCTTGAGAGCTACAGAGAGGCTGCGTGAGGCGCCTGCGCCCTTCTCCTAGGGGGGCACTATCGGTGGGGAGAACTGGCCTTTGCTGCCCCGATTAGCGCCCGGGGGCGTGGCTCCGCTGGCGGCCGGTCAAGAATCCAGGCGGGAGCAGGGTGGGCCGCCGTTCGCGGAGGAGCCTGGAAGCGGCGCTGGGGTTAGCCCCTTGAGGCGCACCATTCTCCGTGTGGGTTATCTATTTTATCAGGCCCGTATTAGCACGTGGCCAGCCTGGCCTAGGCCGACGTGCCAGCCCAAGGCTCGCGGGACTCCTGAGCAGGGGCGGAGCCAGGAGGGCGGGGCGGGCGGGCTTTCGAGCATTGTTCTGGACCGTGAGTGGGGAGCATGCGTAAAGAGGGAACTTTAGGAGGTCAATTAGAAGGGCCCCAGGTGATGCAGGGACCTATCAGAAGGCTGCTAGCGTCTCCTGTCTACCTAGCAGGCCAGTTCATCCAGATCCCAACGCCAAGACCTGCATGTGAGGAGTAGATAGGGGTTGGTGGTGGGTAAACTGGTTCGGGAGAGTAAAAGATTCACTTGCTTAATGCTAGGAGCCCAGGAGTTGCAAGGCCTGTGGAGGCTAGCGAAAGGATTTTGAGATAAGAGTCAGACAAAACACTTCAAGCTCCGAAGGTCACTTGAATTTAGATGCCTGGATTCTTGGGGGGTTCAAAGGCCAAAGACGGAGACAAGGGGAACGGGTTGTGGAACTCTTGGCGTTCATTTCTGTAATGTCGCTTCTGTTCCCACTAACAGGAAACCTACAGGTCACAGAGACCAAAAATAACCGAGGAGAGGAAGGGCAAGCTTGCCAGCATCACCTACCCCTTCTTCAGTGGGACTGGAACCCTTTCTTCTGTCCCTCTAGTAAAAACCACTTCCTAATCATAGTTTTTGATCTCATGATTATCTAGTTAGACTAAAAAGACAAGCCGGGACCACTGGAGCAATCTGCCCCTCCTACCCAGTCCCTCCACCTCCTATAGCACTAATCCTTGGCTTGCTGTTTCTTCACTATAATTCAAGCTCCCCAGGACCCTGACCTTGAAACAACTACTCATGGATTTATACCCAGACAAGTGGGGGTTGGGATGGAGGGAGGCTGTGTAATTTTATTTTTCTTAAAATATGTTTTTATCGATTTTTTCAGAGAGGTAGAGAGAGAGATAGAAACATCAATGTGAGAGAAAAACATGGATCAGTTGCCTCCTGCACGCCTCTTACGGGGGATCAAGTCTGCAGCCCGGGCATGTGCCCTAACCAGGAATCTAACTGGGACCTCTCAGTCCATGGGACAATGCTCAATCCACTGAGCCACACCAGCTGGCAAGGCTGTGTAATTTTAAAAAACATATATAATTTTATATGTAGAAAATAAAAATAATTATACCCAAAAATATTTTTTTGGAATCAAGTTTTTTGGTGGTAGGGGAATATGTCAATGATGTAGAAATTGGTGTGGTGCTATAACATAGTTAAGAGCCCAGTCTATAGAATCAGAGTTCCAACCTCAGTTTCATCACTTAATAAGTTGTCCAAGATATTGAATCTCTTAGTTATTTTCCCTATCTGTAAATTGGGGATAATAATAGCACCTACTTTTTAGGGTTGTCAGGGGAGTTGAATTAGAAAAACCTACGCACTAAAAATGCTTAGTTTAGGGCCTGACAGGTAGCAGGAGTAATATTAGCTTGTCTCATTTTCAACAGCGGATAAACTGTTGTAGGAGGAGAAGGAAGGTTTTAGTTTCTAAGTTTCACTTTTTGCTTTTTAATAAACTAATCTAGGTCATGGGTTTTAAGAGACTGAGAAACACAACCACAAATTGTAAATGTTGGAAGGAACTGCAGAGACCATGTTAATGGACTCACAGATGAGTAATTTAAGTCCAAAAGGGAGGTAATTGATCAGAATTAGTGACCTTCTAACCTTCTGCCCACAGGGCAGAAGAGTTGTGCACACAGGACACAGAACAGGGGACAGGGTGGGAGAGACACATACACTGGGCAATGGATGGACTCCAAGACATCATTACTGGAGGATGGGCATGTTGGCTCTCTACACAGCCTTCTTACTGCCACCTCCAGCCCCTATTGTCCTTATGGGACCCAAGTCCTATCCATTTTTTTTTTGGTGGTGGTGATGGTAGGGGGTGTCTGAGAACAGATGCATCCCCCAACCTCTTGGTATTATTAGTAGCTTCCTGGTTTCTCCCTGCCGTCTCCACACTTCAGTCAGGAAGTGACTTCACAGCAGCAGGATGCAGGTGGCTCCGGAGAACTTCATGAAGTCACTGGTTCCTACACAATGAGCCAGAAGGCAAGGGCAGGGAAGGGGAGAACATGGGCCATTTGAAATGTCTGGTGGAATGGGCACAAAATCCAAGAAGATATTCAGGAATAACCCTCTTTCCCCAGCTTTCCCCAGCCCCCACCTCCCACCCCAGCAAGAACCCCAGGACACAGCAGGCAACAAGAAGAGGCTTCTTTATTCCATGTTTCTGATCTTGCAAGATCTAACATCTCCACCCCTAGACACTCTCCACCTGCCCATCCAGTCTGCTAAAAAAATAATAAATAATGGTTCCTTCTCACATCTTTCTTTTGCTTTCCCTCCCTCCTACAAGTCTGCAGTGGGGGTAAGAGGGTGAAGAGTAGCGTTTTCACCAGTTTCCAAAAGACATCCATTAGCACTGACCTATCTTGAAGAAGCTCTACCTCACAAATCCAAAATGCTTCTTACCCTCTTCCCCATGCCCCATAATCAAATAGGCTCCATGGAAAAGGGGGTAGGACTGTAAATCAAGGTTTCAGAGTATCATCTAACACTCCAGACCTTCCACCCAGTTAAGAGGCAACCCCATTCCTAACTTTTTACTTACTTGGCCTACACCAGAGACTGCACCCCTCAACCAGCCTCTTAATTCTATCTGGATACTTGGTCCACTAGAAGGTCCATCAGTCAATCAATCTTTCAAATCTTCTAATCCCAACAGTAATCCCAATCATAATCTCAAACTATAGCAAACCCCCAATGGAACTCAGCCCCTTTACTCTCCCTGTGGAAGATTCTAGTGCATTCACTGGTTCCAGACAGGAATGCAGTGGTGGGGAGACCAGGTCACAGACCCAGCTTTTCCAAGCACCTGTGACTTCTAGAGTTTCTGAAATCTGGACATTCGCCAGATCATGTCCAAAAACTCCCTGAAGGAAAGAGTTTGTCTCAGGCATAGAGAACCCCAAGGACATTCAAGCCCAGATGTCTCTGCAGCAAAGGACTGGTCATGACATGTTTTGTCAAGATAAAGAGTTTTGTAATTCTCCCCTAGGTCATAATATTATTAGAGACTAGGCAGAATCAGGAAAGGCAGCATCATCTCTAACAAAGAATTTCAGATCTTTCCCCAATGAGGGACCAACTCATTGCTAAGAACAGGCCCTAGTGGGAGGGTTGTGGGCTCTATCATGACAGACACAGCAGAGTCAACCTAGGTGAACAGATGAATAGGACGGTTGGGGTATAAGAAGAAGTCTCTCCAATCATCTCTTAGTTCTAAGGCTGACAAAGCCCCCACACTCACAGCCCTCAGAAGGCATTTATTACCTGCATTTCAGACTCACCATAAAGTTCCCATAACCCTTGAAGAACAGAGAAAAGTCTATCCGATTCTAGCCTGCTAGAGAACCTATAAAATCCAGAATACCAGAGAGGGTTCCTGACCCAATTCCATACACCCACACGTTCCCAGAGCTGCCCTAGAACAAAGAAAGGTTTCAGACCTAGAACTGGAGGGGCAGAACACAGAGAACCCATTTCTCCATTTTAAACAAACCAACAAGCAAACAAATAGGAGAAAGAACAATTCTAAAGATAGAAGTTATGGCAATAATAACATAAAACACTCAAGCCAAAGGAGACAGCCCAGTGCTAATCTCTGCCAGCAGAGCTATGACATCACATTCTATGTTTGGGGTCACTTTGATCACACTGGGAAGAGGGAAGTGGAAAATACAATAGAATGAAGGCCCTGGTGCCACCCAAAGGCCTCAATAAATTATATGTACAGAGAAACCGAATGAGGTGGGGACTGCAGGTAGAGGACTATTCCCTTAAGAAAACCAGCCTCCAGCCTCTCCCGTCCCCAGCTCCTAGCTTGCTCTCTCCTCAGGAACAATTTTGATTGTGGGGGAGAGGTTTTGACCAGCAAAACAGAGGCAGATCAAGTCAGGATCTGCCACCCCTGCTCTCCCCAGTGAGAAATTAAGATGGTGGCAGTTTCTGAGAACGGAGGGGCCTTGTGCACCTCCATGCCCGAATCTGACAGAGAAGCCAGGTGTGGGCCAGCAGCTTTCCTGGCTTCCAGAAAGTGACAGGGGTCTGGGCCATCGCTCAGCTAGGGTCCCCCCAGGATGTGATAGTGTACTTTGGTGTTGGTAGCAGCTCCATGTTTCTGGCGCAGATGAAGCCGTAGCTGACTCTTGTGCCGGAAATGCAGGCCGCAGGGGTCGCACTGTGAAGGAGACAGCCAGGTTAGGCCCCTCCCTATCCACAACCACCTTAGATGTTGGGAGAACTGTTAGCTCTCTGCAAGGGAGAACTGTTAGCTCTCTGCCCAAGAGAAGTTCTTTGGTCCTCATGTCTTCCCAAATCCTTAGGGAGAAGCCAAGGAGATAGGGGCCTCCCTCTTTAGCAAAGGTTTTTCCATCCCTTAGCTCCTCTTTAGGAGCTAGCATCCAGTCAAGGAGCCTAACTTCTTCTTCTTTTTTTTAAATATGTGCCCCTAGCGGGAACTGAACCCGGGACTCTCTGGTCCTCAGGCCGACGCTCCAACCTCTGAGCCAAACCGGCCAGGGCAAGGAGCCTAACTTCTATACTGGTCCATCCCTACCCCCACCTTCACCTCTCACTCACATCCTTACCCTCAGCCCTACCTCTTGCACACATGAACTCTTCCAGGCCACCACCCATTTGGAAGAGACTAGGAACCACCAGACCCCCTCCTCTCAGAGCCCCAACCCTAGGTAAATGGAGGGAAGTCTAAGTCTCTAGGCCAGGCCAGGTTCAGTACTCACATGGTAAGGCTTCTCCCCTGTGTGGATGCGAACATGGCTTTTGAGGGTCTGTAGGTGACGGAAGCGAGTCCCACAGGTGGGGCAAGGATAGGGCTTCTCCCCAGTGTGAATCAACACGTGGGCGCGCAGATGTGCTACCTGGGAGGGGAGAGGACCTCAGACAAGGACTCTGGGAAAGACAGAACCCTCCCTAAAGGGCCCACTCTGCCCTCTTGCAAATTTGCCTTTGATCCAGTTCTGAGGCTGGCTCCATACCTGTACAAAGCGGGAACCACAGGTCTCACACTTATAGGGCTTCTCTCCAGAATGGATGCGGCTATGCGTTTTCAGATTAGCCGGCCGGTTAAAGCGGGCTCCGCAAATGGAGCAGTGGTAGGGCTTTTCCCCTGGAGACAGGGAGGAAGGGAGGTCAGGAACTCTGCCCTAGGACCCCTGTGGGCATGAAGACCAGGGCCCTCTCCTCCTTGTCCCTCCCCTACCTGTGTGCACTGTGCGGTGACTGGCCAGGTTGCCCTTGTAGCGGAAGGCAGACCGGCAGAGCTGACACTTGTAGGGCTTGTCCTCATCCCCAGGAGCCAAGGGGTCCAGCCCCGATGAGCACCCAGCCACAGCCTCACAGTTTTGGCAGCTGAAAAATTCACTTCCTAGGAAGGAGGATGGGTAATGACAATAATACCAGGGAATCCTCAAACCACACATTAGTAGGTTTTCTTTTTCCCAATTTACTGTTAAGACTTTGGAGCTCATTTGACTTGCTTGAGGTCACAGGGTTAGTAAGAGGGGAAGCCAAGATCTGACTCCATGTCTGTCTGTCTCCAGGGTACTCTGCTAATCTCTTTAATAGCAGTGGTGGTAGGTGGAGGCCTCTACTAGTGGGTAGAGGTTTCTGTTTCTCTCTCTTCTCTTGCACCACTCTGGATGACACCTTGCCAGAAATGCCCTGCTGAGCTCTGGGCTGACCACCTAGCCCTGGAATAGGCCAGAAGTTCCCAAACACTACTGCTCATTGGAAGCTTTAAAAAATACCGACACCTGGCTCACACTTCTAGACATTTTGATCTATGGGGTGTGACTCTAATTTGTAGTATGTAATTGGAATAGGTCTTTCCTGAGGCTTTTTGGCCCAAACTGGCTTTGAGCAGCCACAGGAGAAAAGCCCAGAAGGAGGTAAAAGGAGGGGCTCTTACCTGGTGGTGGACGAGCCCGCCCAGAGGGAGATGATGCATTGGCTCCTTGAGCCCGGTGTGTGAGATGGGGGGTATTGACTGGAGCCCCACATTTAAACTGTACAGTGGCAGCAGTGGGAGAGAGCCTAGACAGAGTAAAAGGTTAGGAGAGATTATGTGGAGGGGAGCTTCTCTGCTGGAAAACTTGGAGCTAAAGGCTACCTTCTAGAAGTGACCAATGAGCCATATCCAATTGTGCTGCCAAAGACCCACCACACCAGTAAGCCTGGCCTCTGGCCAACTTCCTAAGGTGGGCTAGTGTCTCTGGAACCCACCCACTCACTCCCTGTTCCTGACCACCCAGGCCCAATGGCTTTCTCTGCCTCCTAGCTGAGGCTAGCCACTACAAATTCTTGGGGTTCCAGTTTCTGTACCTGCTCTGGGGACCGGGAATGGGTCCTTCTTCGCTGCCACTGCTGCTGCTGGAAGCCTCATCTCCACTGGGGAGCCCAGCTTGGGGGCAAAGTTGACCAGAACTCCTCTCCCCCACCAGGCTCCCTCCTTGGGAGGCCTGAGAGTTTAGCACGATGAACTTGTATTTTTTCCAATTGCAGGCCTTGGGGTCTGGGCTGCCTGGACTGGGGGGGCCTTGACTGCAGCTTCGAGACTCAGTAGGTGGGTCTGGGTGCCCTTCGGAGCGCCTGGGACTGCCTGGTGGCGGGGCCGTAGGGGGCGTGGGGGGTTCTGCCTCCAGGGGCCGCAGGGAGATGCCCAGAGGTTCATAGCTGGGAAAAGCGCGATGGACATTAGTTCTATTTCCTAATCTTGGCCTCTGCCCCTGACACCTGGGATACCAACCACCTCACCCACGGAGAACACCGAACTGGGTCTCCTCACCTGGCCTGAATGAAGCGGTGGCATGCCTGGACCACATGATCCATCTGTAAATAGGTGGCGGCTGCAAGAACAGCTGGTGCAGTGGCAGGAGAGAGGCGTAGGCGCGAAGTGTACATGAAGTCCAGAAGAGGAGCGAAGCCTCCAGCTTCGGGGCCCCCAGGCAGGGAGAGCACATCCACCCCAACTCCTGCACGGCCTCGGAAAATTGAATAGAAGAAGCCACTGGAGAAAGGGCAGACAGGTCATGTTAGGGGCTAGGGAACCAAAGGAGATTTGTGCAAGCTCTGTAGAGAGCCCCGCCTCCTCCCACTGCCACCCCGCCTCCAATTCCAGGACGCTCCCTCCTGCTTCTGGACGGCTTGGCTTCGGATTCCCTCCCAAAGACCTTATGGCTCCGTCCCTTTCCCATTTGGTCCCACTCTGTCCGATGAGGCTCCCTTCGAACCTGCAGGCGATAAGAACTGCCTTGTGAGCCCGAAGGGGTTGCCCGCCAACCAGTAGCGTGACGTCAGTGAGGATCCCGCGCAGGCGCAACTCATTGAGGTTGCCGAGCACGTCGGAGGAGTGGCGAGTGAACTCGCGGACGTAGCCCAGAGCTCCGTCCGGGGAAGCCGTGGAACCCATCGCGACGCAGGCCTGCGGGTGCCGAGGGATCCAGGCAGTCCTAAGACACTTTTCGTTCCGCAGTTTGCCTCCTCCTCCTGAGGTGCAACTACAGCCAAGCCCCGCTCACACAGCCTCACTTAATTCATCTTGTTCTTTCTTTTCACGACCCCCCCATTGCTCGATTTCCTCCTCTAGATTTGAAGTTTCCCACACCGCGGTGTCTATGGCGAGCGTGGAGACTCAGGCCCGAAACGCCCTTGGTTCAATTCCTAGAGCCCTTCCAGCACCCACCCAAACTCCAGTCCCTTCTGTTTCACCGCGCTCGAGTCGCAGGTGTTCGACCCTGCTGAAGACCCTACGCGATTTGCTCTCCACACACCTTCAAATCCCAATCGAAGTTCCCTCCCCCAACCACGAATTCTATCTAGTCCCAGATCCCTAGCTTAGCCCGATTTGGGGGCCACTATCTAGTCCCGGATCCCTAGCTTAGGCCGATTTGGGGGCCACTATCTAGACCCGGATCCCTAGCTTATCCCAATTTGGGGGGCACAATCTAGTCCTGGATCCCTAATTTTGCCCAATTTTGGGGCCTCAGTCTTCCTACCATCAACAAAAACCAACCCTTTTTGGGGACCCAGGAGTCTGGCTCCCTCAGTCTCTTGTTCTTACCCCCGTCCTGCAGGGGCTGTGGCTTCTCTTCTCAAGGGGGTGGGGCCTCTCTCCCCTTTTGGCCTCGGCTCCTTTATCTGGCCGGGATGGCGGGGGCGGGGGTGGAGGTGGGGTGAACGCCTGGGTCTGTATCCTTCCTTCCTCGGTAGCTCTCCAGATGGCGAGCCCCGGGCGGGGTCTCCGCTCTAGGGCGGGACCTTAGAAACGCTGCGTGGTAGTAACCTAAAGGGTCTTGGGTCACCAAAAGTGGAATAATCGAGGAAGGGACATTCGAATTGAAGAGAAGGTTGGGGATATTGAGAGTGGAAAAATGAGTGACTGGGTCGGGGTGGGGGTGGCTGGGACAGCCGAAACTGGTGTGTTGGCTTTTGGAAGGGGATGGCAGGAGCCTGTTACAGGAGAGTAAATAGAGCAAAGCTCTCTTTCCAATGTACTGTATTACGGAACATAAAGGAGAGCCCAAGGAGGCCTCAGGTTTGGGGAGGCGATAGTGGGCTCCTGTGGGGTCTCAGGCAGCGAAGGGGTGGTGTGAATGACAGGTTCCTCTAGCAAGGCCTACCAAAAGGGCACTCTGACCGGGCGGGGTAGAGAAAGGGCGGATATGATTTCTAGTTTGTTTCCTTCCATTGTCCTGCGACCGGACGGCTCCTCCAGCTGCTTCCCCTCGAGGAGGTGGGGAAAATCCCGGGTGGGAGCCGAGAAACGTTCAGGAGAACTATGCGTCCGGACTCTCACTCCCGACACCCTTCAGAATCCTTTTAGGGATCCAGAGAGAGGGACTCCCGCCCAAAGCCTGTTCGCCCTCCCCCCAGTCCCAGCCCACTAGGGCCTCGGGCACCCGCGGGTCGGCTACGCTAGGAGGCTGGCAGGACGCCGGGGTCCAGCGCGGCAAGCAGGCAAAACTCGGCAATGTTTGGCTCCTTCCACGAGGGGGCGGGCGAGCACTAGCTTCGCTTCGTCCGGTCGCCTGCACCCGGCTGGGGTGGGGTCGAGGGGAGACGGGGGCGGGGGGGGGGGCGATCGGGGAGGGGGGGTCCACTCTGACAGGGGCTCAGGATCAATTCGGTCTGAACGGCGGAAACTTTCGACCTCGTCCCCTTTGCGCTGGTTTATTTTGTCCATCTGTCTCCTAGAAGGGAACTGGGGTTGAGCAGAGGAAGGGAGTTAGGCGACAGAAGTGACTTTCCTCCGAGACTGGGGTTCCTACTTGGGGTGAGAAATTTGACGGCTTTGGGAGCAAGGGATATGGGTGGGACAAGGACTGGGGTCTGAGCTCTGGAAGTACAGGGTTTTCCTTTCTAATTAGTCTAGACACTATAATTTGTTTTAGAGGTGAATTTTTAGTGAACGTTAATAGAAAGTTAGATGGGCCGAACAAAGAGAAGGGAAAACAGGGAAGTTCTCAGGATAAAAGAAGGGAGAAAAGGTAGGAGGGTTCTGGGAACCCTAATTTTAAGTCCCTGATCTCGGAGATAGGCACGGATCAAACCCTCATATATTATTTAAGGAGATGCTGGGTTTTCAGGGGGACAAGTTTCATTTGGAGGAGAGAGGCCAGAGCTGAGACAAGCTGCAAATCAGGACGGCTTTGGGCTCAGGAATGACTGACCATTACCGGGAGTTGCATATCCAGGCCTGGGGCCCTTCCCTTCAGATTTGAGGGTGTCTTTATTTGCATGCACAGAAGAACTGCTGAGAAACAGGGAATTGGGGACCACTACGGATTTGGGACCATTTGGTGGCTTTTGATGTGATGGTTACTTTGATCTCTCCCCATTGCGGGAGTTTGGTATCAGGATGGAACTGACTTTGTGTTACCTGCTCAATTGTGGGATGCATGTTTATTATGGGGTGTGAAGTTAGTTTGATTATTCTGGTACTGGTGGCAGCATTCAGGCTTGAGGGCAAATGATAAATGTGAGTAATGGAGCTGATTCTGAAGCTATATTAATTTAGGAAATTCTGACACCCACAATTTGGAGATTGTCATCTGGGAATATCAAGGAGAACCTGCTTGGTGTTCTTGGGGAAGTGAATGGGGGTTTTGTTTTAGGGATTCCTAGTCATTGGTGTATATGGACAATCTGATTTAGGGTACAATAGTCATGCTGATTGGGGGATGAATTATGTTTTGGGGTATCATATACATTTTAAGGCTCCGAGTAGATTTGGGGAAACATAAAATTCAATTTGGAGTCTATTATTATGCGGTGGACCATAATGGAACCTGGGAGCTTGTTTGAAGGCCTTCTATGATTGTGGGTCCATGAGGGGAAGCAAAGCTTTCTACTTGAATGTTGTGGAAACTTACTTTGGGGGGGGGGTATTCCTGTGTGCACAGATAGCCAAGAAACTTTTTCCAGTGGCAGAAACAAGACAAGGGTCCAGGGTGGGAAATAAAAGTTTTGGGGTGTTCTAATTTTGGGGTGTTCTGCAACTATTTGGGTGAATTGAGGGATGAATCATAAGGTGAGATTGATTTAGGGGGTTCACTTAATTTGGAGCATGCATGATTTGGGATCATTTGCTTATAGCAAATGTCCTTTGCTTATAGCTCTTTCACCCCAGATTCTAGAAAATCTTTCTTTAGTGAACCCCAAATATGCTCAGGGTTTGATAGGAGAAATTTGTAAAGGGAATGCATTTCCTCTTATTTCTGTGTGGCCTGAATAGCTCTGAGGAAGAAAAGATGGTTTCAGATTCTGTACCCCAATTTCTTAAGGGAGCCCACCTCCGTTTGGGAGAAGGTAGAGAAAATGGGGTGTCTTATGGTAAAGTGGACACCCCTGACTAGGTCAGTGATGTTGGAACTGTGGCAAGGAGAGGTGGTTGTTGGGTACAAGGAGGTGATTCTTGTACCCTGATTTTCTAGGATAAGAGCCCCAAACAAAAAGCCGCCAGAAGACTGGGAGTGTGGGTGAGATGGGGGAGGGGTTCCCCACGGCAGCAGGGGCTAGGGGGTAAGCCAGGCCAGCTCTGCACGCCTGGGTCCCTGCTCTGTTCGGCTCTCCTCCCCTCTCTCCCTCCCACCGCCCACCCCCACAACCCAAGGGAAAAAAACTGCCTGTGCAACAGCAATGGCAGATTCCAATCCTCCAGGCTTTCCTGAACCACCACCGAGACCAGCCAGGGGGGAGGGGAAGGGAGGATCGGGCTTTCCTGCTTCCCTAAGACTGGGCTATGAACTTGACCTCCTGGCCCCTAGCCCTTCGAGGAGTGCCCCACCCCCCGGTATGGAAGCCAGGTGTCCTGGACCCTAGCCCCCGAGCGGGGTGGGGGGGGGCCTGGAGAGACGGGGAGGAGGAAGGAGGGAGTGACTTCCAAAATTGGCATCGGGACAGAGCAGGGCTGGCGGGAGGCAGGCGAAAGACAGAATTTTCCTGAAAAAACGGGGGTATCTGAGGACCCCAAATTTGGAGAGCTAGTCCAGGACCGTCCTGCCAACATCCTAGATTTTTTGGGGATTTTTTGGGGCCCCCGGGACCCCTCTAGATGGGGTGAGGAATGTAGTGTTGGGGGAATCTGACTGGGGCATTGCAGCTGCCTCTCCCGCCGAGTTGGACACGGATGGGCTGGGACGGGTTTGGGGGGGTGTCCCCAATTCTGACTGGGAGTGGAGGAACCCCATCCTGAGCTCTCTTGTGGGGGTCCCCCCTCCCTAGGGCACTCCCCACTCCTTGAACCAGCCGAGAGGAAGGAGGCCAGCGATGCGACTGGGGCAGCTCCTTTCTCCTGCACCTCAAATGTGAGGGATGCACCCCAAATTTTGCTCCCTTCAAAATAGGGGACCAGGATCTCAGGGGAGAGTAGCTGAGGTAAGTGGGGAGGAAAGTGTCCCCTGTTTTCAGGAGAGACGTGGCGGTTGGGGGGGAGGTTTGGAGGTGCTGCTGGGGTGGGGTTGGGCTTTGTCAATCTTGGAACTGGGGGGATCATTGGAGAGGCTTTCTCTTATGGCCCTAAACTGTAGTCCCCCAGGTGGAAACCAAAGGTTGAGACCATAGGGACCCCCAACATCCACAGCCGTTAGTGTTTGATTTGTTTCACCCCCACAAAGGCTCTGCCGAGGACAGGAGCTGGGGGCAGCTGTTCAGTCTGGGGACTGTGGAGGGTGAAAGAGGAGCAAGAGGCCTTGGCAGGACTTGATGTAGGAGAGATAGGGGTGTCAAGGGAGGGGTCTGGCATCCCAGGGGCCTAAAAAGACTGCTTACACCTACCATCTTAGATCTTTTCGATTGCTAAGAGTTTTGGGGGTGTGTCGGCAGGGAGGGTGGTAAAGGGTGGGATGGGAGGTGTGAAGATAACTTTTCGGTTTTAGAGGATATTATTTTGATTTGCAGAAGAGATTTTGGCCCTTGGGTTTTGATTTCTGGGGTGTGCTTTTTAAAAATCAAATTCTGGACAGGAGGAAAAGGCTGAGGGAAGGCCTAGGGTGGGGGTAGGGAGAGGCATGTTTGTCTCAGCTTAAACGTGGCTTTCTGGGGTGGGCCCACCTTCCTGAGCCTGGTGGGTGGGCTTATGGGGGTTGTTGCACTGGGTAGAACTTGGGTCCTGGGGGACCATGGAGAGTGGAAACAGAACTGGGGGTTGGATACCTGGCCCCAGGTCCAGATGGCCTTCCTGGGCCCGGCTGTTCTCCTTCCCCCCTGGCCTCCATTTCCTGCCTTTGGCCTCCATCTTGTGGCAGGCCCAGGGCCCAGGGCCACTTCCGGCCCCCCTCTCCAAAGACGTTCCGGCCCCATCACCTCTGGATTGCCAACTTCCAACCCTGCTGTCCTTGGCCTCCTGTCTCTCCTTGCTTTCTCTTGGGTTCTCACCCAGAGGAGGAACAGACACAGGAAGCCTTGGGTGCCTGTCCTTGCCGACTCGGGACAGTTTGTTGGTCCCCCATAGTCATTCCCTATTCCTCCGCCTCTGACCCCACCCTAGGGATCCCCTGAGCAGTTTCTACAGAGGGAAGATGGTTCCAGTCTTATTGTACTGCAGACCCATCCCTTAGGCCCCTCTCTCTCCAGTTGCCTGCTCAGCTTAGCCCTTGTTTCTTGTTTTCTCCAACTATTCTCAGGGCCATGTTTGCCTTTTATACCTTCTCTATCGCCCTGTTCTTGGTGGTGGGGGTCTTCCCAGCACTGTCTCATGCTCCCTTCCTCTCAACTCACCCCAGTCCTGCTCCCGCCCCAGCAGCACACTGTGGTTTGTACGGCACTGTGGCCACGTCCAAACCACACTGTGGTGTTAGAGCGAGGGTGGGGGAGGCACCGCTGAGGCTTGGCCCAGGAGGCCACCCTGGAGAAGCGACACAAAAGACATCTGGGGCCTTTTTTCAAGGTTGGGGTGGGGGTCAGCGGAAGGGAGGTATGAAAGCACTGGAAACAGCCCCTCTATAATCCCCAGGGTGGTCTCAGGAATACCAACTGCTGGAGACCCTGGGGGTAAGTTCTGCCTCCAGAGAGCAAAGTGGAGTCTTTGTTCCCCACACCCAGCTCCCCTGGCTTTAGCAGCACAGAAATATTGGCACTGGAAAGAGTCTGCCAGTATTGGCTGAGCTGCTCCAGGCAGGGTGGTAAGGGCTGCTGAGGAGGAGGCTGAGCCACTGGGGGCTAAGGAGAGAGGAAATGGTCCCTTGTACTCCAATAATGTCAAGTGAAGGCACCAAGCTGAGAGGGAAATCTTTATTGTTTTCTGTATAAAAATGTCCATCGGATGCAAATCAAAGGGGCTGGGGGCAGATGCTTATACAGGAGCAGCAAGGGGGCAGTCCCAGCAGTCTTTTGACCCTCTTTCAGGCAGTCGTTGCTCAGAGTCCTAGGCGATCCACAGGTCCAGGGTGAACAATAAGAGGGGTCAGAGGCGGAAGGCTCAGTGAGACAGCAGAGGAGGATCACCAGAGGTCATGAGAAGGCCAGAATCCAGGGTCAGGCTGTCTGGAACAGGAAGTAAAATGGGCCGAGATGGAGCAAGCCCCAAGATGCTTCTAAGACAATTCCTGCCTCACCAAAGCCCCCGGTTCTTTACTGACCCAACCACCTGCACTGTGTATGAGAGAACCTTCTTTTCCAAAGCCCCTGTACAGGGAGGGGGATCCTGCTAAGACCCTCCCCTACCATCCAAGTGACACTTCCTCCCCAACCCCTTCAGCTGGTGTGGGAGGAGAAGGACTCCTACCCTGGTCGAAGTTGAGTTTCTTGGATGGAGGAGTTTCTCCTAGCCCTTCAATATCCACCAGGTCACTGTTGGCGTCGGAGTCGTTCAGAGCACTGAGTGTCACATCTGGGAGGGGGGCATAAGCTAGGTTCTAGGTTCCTTGACTGCTGTCCTGGCTTCCCAAAGCTTCAAGCTCTCCCTCCTACCACCACCCCAGCCACTCTCTGGGAACCTTCACTGGGAGAGGAAGAAAGATTTGTCCTTCTTTGACCCAAGCCCATTTCTCTCACTGAACCTCAGATGGGACTTGAACCCTCAGGCAGCAACTCCACAGCCCTCACCAGCCTTCTGTTTCTTTATGGGAGGACCCCCGGCCTCAGAGACGCTGGAGCTGCTTGGTGGAGGGGCAGCTGGAGGAGGTGACAAGACACCAGATGCCACCTTCTTGGGCCCTTTCTTGGGTGACTCAGCTGGAAGGGGGATACCAGAGTCTTCATATACTTTGCGCTTCACAGTGGCCTTTATCTGAGCCCTGAAGAGAAGAGAGCAGGTTAGGAAGGGGGTCATCATCAGAGATTGCTGAAGGAAGAAGGAAGGGGAGGAGCAGGGATAATGCACCACTTTGAAAGAACACTGGGGAGCCCCTTCAAAATCTGAGTAAGAATCCAAGTTAGGGCCCAACCCTTTGGTAGGGTCTCATTTTCCAGGACCTTTTCACTCACTTAGGGCAGATGCAGTGTAAAGAATGGATTCTCTGAACTGAGTAGTGGGAAGTGCCCATCTCCTAATTCTCTTCTGGGAGAGAAGTATGGCTGTGAAAGGCTAACAGGTAAGCCTTGGTGATCTGCAGGTAGATTCTGATCAACCAGTTCAGAATCACAGTATTCCTGGAAACACAGCAGTAGAGTCTCGAAAGATCTGTATAAATAACCAGGCAATTCCCATTACAAAATTCAATTACTGGGTATATCAGGCAATCTAAAATAAAATTATTGGAAGGTCCTGATTACCCGAGTATTTTAGTAACTTCTCACCAACTGTGACAATTCTTTTATCTTTCAGTCCTCAAGGGGATGCTAACAAAACTAGCAACAAAGTAGGAAAGATGTTGAACTGGAAGGGAGTTCTGAGAAGATGGAACAATGGGTATGGAGGAAGAAATCTGCCCACACCCCTCTTTCTCTACCAGCCACCCCTCCCTCACACTGTCCGTTCCTTGATGACACAGCTGATGTGATTAAGATCGTCACCAAACCGCTTCACAGCAGCCCTCAGCATCTCTATCTCCGTCTCCGTCCACTTGGCACTGTCAGAGGGGAGAGGGGAATATCGAAAGTGGGAGGAGGAGGGGTGTGGAGCCAGCCCCCAGGCTATGCATTCCACAGCAACCAGCCTCCTCCCCTTAATCCCTGGGGCCCCTCCCATAGATCCATAGAGAAGTCCTCCTTAAAAAAATGCTCTTAAAACGCCCCGGGAACCCCCAGGACCCCCAGCCATGTGATATTGCAACAACCGCCAACTTGTAAGAAAGCCTTTTCCCCATTATCTTGAAACAGTAGCTGTAAACTGCCCACTGAAACCAATTAAACACGCGTGTGTATGTGTCTATGTGTGTCTTACAAACAGAACACCTGAACACAGTCTGCAGCAATCTGAGGAAATTCCACAAGACTTGGGGTGGGTTGGTAGTGGTGGTGGTCTATGGTCTGTGGGTTCCGGTTATGAGCTCCAGGCTGTGGTTTTACCTGTCATCCGTTCAACAATCATTAACACCCACTCTGCGCTGTGCCAGGCACAAAGGCAAACTACAAACTAAAACTAACATCTGTCCTTGCCCTACAGAGTGTCCGTGTCGGTGAGCGAGTCCAAGCGTCCGCACTCAGCGTTCACGACCCAGCCCCGGCTCACGTACCCCGCGGGGGAAGAGTCGGCCACGGGATGCAGCTGCATGGTCAGCTCCCCGAGCTTCGTGAAGGCGGCACCCGCCGCGGAGAAGATCTCTCCAACCTGGGGGTGGGGCAGCATTACGGGGGGCCGAAGCACACCCACCGCGCCGTCCAGCCCGGAGCCCCTAGCCCCACCCCAGGCTCGACTCCCGCCCGCCTCCCGCCCCCCTAACCCCACCCTAGGCGGAAAAGCCGGGAGCCAACTGGCGGGGTTGTGGGGTGGGCAGGGATGCCCTCCCGTGGCCGCCAGGGAGCGCTGTCCGTTTGGGAGGTCGAACCTTTGTGGATGCTGACGTCATGGCCCCGTGCGCCTCCGGCACGGAGGAGACGCCGCCGCCGCCGCCGCCGGACCGGGACCACCGAGAGCCAGCCGACCCAACCGCTCTGACCCGCGCAGGAAGTCCCGCCCCCTCCCGCAGCTGATTGGCTTAAACTCGGCTGCTCAGTGGTTCACCAGCGGCTCGGCGCATGGAGGGGAGTGGAAGACACCGCCTCACTTCCGGTCCGGCTTCATTCCACTTCCGTCGAGGGGTCGGGATTCCTGACTTGGAGGCCGGTATCTAGGCCCAGTGCCCGCCTCTTCCAACCCAAGCACAGACACAAGGCTTAAGAGGGCAGTTTCTCTTTATTGTGGTAGGGGAAAAGGCGAGGGGGCTGGAGGGACAGGTGACAGTCTTAGCTTCCCTCCACTGGGGCTGGGCCCCAGAATGGGCGTCAGGACGGGGTGGGGAAAGTCTTTAAATAGAAGAGGGGTACGAAGAGAGTAAACGAGACCGTGTTCTAGCGCACCATATATTCCTTTCGCTTATTGAGCCGAACTTGGCAGAAAGAGAAGCCTCCGAGGAGGAGGTAAAGGCCCGCAGCGATGAAACAGTTGTAGCTGACTTGCTCGTAAAGGTTGTATATGTTCTCGGGGCCATTCCTAGGGGTAGGGATTAGGCAGAGAAGTGTCAGAAACATTAATAGCAGTACTTACTATGTGCTAGGTACGGGTTCTAAGTGCTTTTATGTGTATTATCCTGGTCTTCTTCACTCTATGAGGCGAGTTCTACTGCAGCATCCATTTTTGTGGAGGGGGACGGAGGCACATAAAAGTCAAGTAAAATACGTGAAGAAGCCACAACAAAAGTGGTGGGTTTAGGATGGCTGCTGAGGTCTGACACTCAAGACCAGTACGAGCTGTACGCTAAAGAGAGCAGTTCTCTGCACCCAGTTCCTCAGCCACTGGGCCCCAAGCATCCAGCCTCCTGCAATGAAATCTCCGCCCATAATTCTGACCGCAGGCTCAGTCACCTCCCACCTACCCCAGCCCCGCCTCTCCCATCTGACACTTACTCAAAATCTTTCTCTGTGAAGGGAACGTCTTCAATTAGCACAGCAGAATGGACGTTAAAAAAGATTCCGAGCATTATCTGAAAACAGGAAATGGATAGGTTTTGACCTCAGACACCTTCGCTGGTCACTCCCTAAACTCCTTCCACTTCTAATGTTGCCACAACATCTGAGTTTGGGAATTAACGGAATGCGCTGAGGATTGGAGGTGGATTCGTACTCAGTCGTCTGGAACAGGGCATAAGGTGGTGACAAAGAGACGACCTGGCTGGGGCCAAGGGCAGAAATAGTGAGTAAGCCAGAAACCCAGATTATTCTCCTTTCCAGAGGCGTCGTTATTACGGGACAGGGCAGAAGGGGTCAGGGAGAATCGGCACCTATTATTATTTATTCCTGGAGTGGGGAGGGTGGAGTCCTGGGGAAACAAGCGCCCCCTCTCCTTCACGGCCCTTCATTCAGTTTAAGCATCTCTCAAGAACCAGCTCTTCTTCCTCCTACCTTGAGGGGGTCTCCAAGTTTACCAGCCCGGGCTCCCATTCCTAGCTCCACTTCCCTCCACCACTACCCGCCCCACTCTGTTTCTCTCTTTCTCAATCTCAGTTCTGCCTGGTTCTCCAGCGGCTAATCAACTACCCCCTCCAGCCTGCCTGCTGCTTTCTAAGGCCTGGAGTCTCCTAGCCTTCCAGCCCTTCAACGCCGGGGCCCCTCGGGTCCTCTCCAGTTCTCGCAGGCCAGTCCCCTCACCAACATGATCACTCCCCAGGCGCTGAGGACGATGCCGCAGGCAGCCAGCTTAGGCCCACAGCACAGAAGCGACGCCATGAAGATGGGAGTCGGGGATCGCCTGGATCTGGGCGGAGTGGAAAGGCGGTGACAGGAATCCCCGATGGGCTGGAGAGGTAAAAGAGAGCTGAGTCCGGAGCTCGCGCCGCGAAGGATGGAGGAACTGGAGGTCGGCGGAGGGGCGTGGCCTCGGGCCCAACCTTCGTGCGGGGGGCGCCAGGCGGAGGATGCTGGGCGACTTGGCTCCTGTCCAGACTTTGGCCATAAAAGGCAGTGTGTAAATGAGAGCAGCCCCCCCGGAGTCTCTTGTTGACCCACGTAGCAGGGGCGCGAGTACTACAGTAGCAAGGGCCTAAGGTTTCTTGGTTCCCCCCTCTCCAGGTTAGAATGGAAGGAGCCGACACAGCACGTGACCCATATTGGCAAGTCACGTGACGAGGAACCTCCGGAGCTGGTCTTTGGGGAAAGAGACTTGGTTGCAGAGTTCCTGGTAACCTTAGCGGTGGGCTCTTAGAAGCAGAGGACTGGAACTGTTTTTTTCCCCCTCAGACACTGTAGTTTCGGGTAGTATCCTGGGGGGGGGGGGGGGTGGGGGAGATGGTAAGTAAGACGGAAATTCACGCCGGGAGAGGACGCCGATATCTCCTCTCGTCCCTGCCTTTAAAAATAGATATTCTGACCCAGTAAAAGGAAACAGGAGACCCTTCCAGAGGTCAGGCATACTGTTGTGGCCAGAGCGCTTTAAAATTGCGGAGCGTTCTGGGCATTGGATCAAGTAACATTTTGTTACCGAACATGGAATACTAAATGGTTTTGGATGCCAAATTCAGGAAAAATATGGGCATTAGGAACCCCCTATGGAAAGTAGACTCTGAGTTAAATTGTGAAGGTGAGGTCCTGCTAAATGTACTGGAGAAAGAAATAATGCACAAAATGTCACGTTGCTTCCCTATTGTAAACTAAGAGAATGGATTATAGACCCCTTGAATAAGGCAGGGTACAAGATTTAAAAATATGAATAGATTATTTACTCCAAAGAAAAAGTTTGTGTACTTCACTGGTAAGAGACAGGTTTGTAACAATTTAGGGAAACGGGTGTTTGAAGAACAGTTTTGTTCTGAGCTTATTGTATCCAGTCTAGTGAAGACAGTGATCATAGCATAATTGAGAGGGGGTCACTTTGATCCCCAAACCCAGAACTAGACAAAAAAACAGTAGTTGGTATAACTGGTCATTTTCCATTTATTTTGTGTGTATTGTTCTGAAAAGGGCAGTGAGAGAACCTGGAACACATATGGAGACTCCATTGTACTAAAGGGGCTGGGAAAGTGGCCTTGAGACATAAATTTCATGTCTCTTTTGTTTGAAACTATTTGCGGAAGGAAGCCAAACGTTTTTATTCTGCTCTAGGAGCACCTTTGTTATTCCAGGACTTTTGGGAGTAGGTGTGTGAATAGGAGGAATAGGGATGGAGGGAAGTTGCGAAAGAACAGAATCAGGAATTTTTAAGTCGGCCACCAAACATGAAGTCTAGCTCCTGGGAAAGGAGAATTGAAGTAATTCATTTCTCCAAGAAATCTTCCGCACCCACCTCTGAGAGCATTCTCTGGATGTTTGCAAGTAGGGTCAGTGCCTCAGACTAGAAGAGTACCCTTGTCCAGGTACTACCACTGAGGGCCAAATTCAGCCTGCACCTTTTGCAAAGCACAGGGGTGTTTCTCTTTGTATTTTTTAAAAAATATGTTTTTATTGATTTTTTTAGAGAGAGAGGAAGGGAGAGAGAGAAACATCAATGTGAGAGAGAAATACCAATCTGCTGCCTCCTGCAAGCACCCCCACCGGGGATCAAGTCCACAACCTGGGCATGTGCCCTGACAGGAATCGAATGGGTGCCTCTCAGTCTGTGAGACATCGCTCACTCCACTGAACCACACTGGCCGGGGCTGTTTTTGTATTTTTATTTTTTTAAATTAATTAATTTTTTTACAGATGTTTCTCGTCTCCTCCCCCCCCCCCGCCCCCATTCCTCCCTCCCTTCCCTTCCCGCCTTGTCCCCAACTCTGTTGTCCATGTCCATTGTTCATGCACACATGCATATAAGTTCTGTGGTTTATCTCTCCCCCACCACTCCCTCTTCTGGGGATTGTCAGTCTGTACCCAACCTCCACGTCACTGGGACTACCCCATTCCTCAGACTTTTATGTTCATTATATTCCACAAATAAGTAAGATTATATGATACCTGTCATTCTCTGTTTGGCTTGTTTCGCTTAGGATAATACTTTCCAGGTCTCTCCATGTCGTCTCAAAGGATAAGAGATCTTTCTTTCTTACAGCCTCAATGTACTCCATTGTGTATATGTACCATCGCTTTTTTATCCATTTGTCTACTGATGGACATTTGGGCTGTTTCCAGATCTTAGCTATTGTAAATAGTGCTGCTAGGAACATGGGGGTATATATATTCTTTCTGATTGGTGTTTCAGGCTTCTTAGGGTATATTCCTAGAAGTGGGATCACTGGGTCAAATGGAATTTCCATTTTTAATTTTTTGAGGTAACACTATATAGTTTTCCATAGTGGCTTCACCAGTCTACATTCCCACCAGCAGTGTACGAGAGGCCCCTTTACTTCACACCCTCACCAACACTTGTTGTTTGATGATTTGTTGATGGCGGCCATTCTGATAGGTGTGAGGTGATACCTCATTGTTGTTTTAATTTTCATCTCTCTGATGATTACTGATGTTGAGCATTTCTTCATATGTCTCTTGGCCATTTGTATGTCCTGTTTGGAGAGGTGTCTATTTAGTTCCTCTGCCCATTTTTTAATTGGGTTCTTTGTCTTCCTCTTGTTGAGTTGTATGAGCACTCTCTATATATTGGAAATTAACCCCTTATCTGATATATCATTGGCAATTATACTCTCCCATACAGTGGGTTGCCTTTCCATTTTGATGACTGTATCTTTTGCTGTGAGAAGCTTTTGAGTTTGATGTAGTCCCGTATGTTCATTTTCTCCTTTGTTTCTGTTGCCTTAGGTGATGTATCAGTGAAAATTCCACTGCATATGATGTCTGAAATTTTGTTGCCTACATTTTCTTCTAGGATTTTTATGGATTCATGAGTCACATTTAAGTCTTTTATCCATTTTGAGTTTATTCTTGTGTAGGGTGTAAGTTGATGGTCTAGTTTTATTTTTTGCATGTAGCTGTCCAATTTTCCCAACACCATTTTTAAAGAGGCTGTCTTGACTCCACTGTATGTTCTTGCCACCTTTGTCAAATATTAATTGAGCATATTGCCTTGGGTCCATGTCTGGGTTCTCTGTTCTGTTCCACTGGTCTATATGCCTGTTCTTGTGCCAGTACCAGGCTGTTTTGATTACAGTGGCTTTGTAGTGTAACCTGAAATCTGGTAATGTGATCCCTCCAACTTTGTTCTTTTTTTTTTTTTTTCAAGATTTCTGTGGCTATTTGAGGTCTTTTTTGGTTCCATATGAACTTTTGAAGTATTTGTTCTAGTTTTGTGAAGTATGTCGTTGATATTTTAGTGGGGATTGCATTGAATCTATAGATTGCTTTGGGTAGTATGGACATTTTAATGATGTTAATTCTTCCAGTCCTTGAACAGGGTATGTGCTTCCACTTTTTTATATCTTCCTCTCTTTCTTTTTACAATGACCTGTGGTTTCCTGCGAATAGGTCCTTTATTTCTTTGGTTAAGTTTATTTCTAGGTATCTTAATTTTTTTGCCACAATGGTAAATGGGATTATTTTCTTAGTTTCTCTTTCTGTGAGTTCATCATTGGTGTATAAGAATGCGATCAATTTCTTGACGTTAATTTTATAACCTGCTACATTGCCAAATTTATTTATTAAGTCTAGTAAAGTTTTGATGGAGTCTTTGGGGTTTTCTACGTATAGTATCATGTCATCTCTGAATAATGAGAGTTTCACTTCTTCCTTTCCAGTTTGGATCCCTTTTATTTTTTCTTCCTGTCTGATTGCTGTGGCTAAGACTTCCAGTACTATGTTGAATAAGAGTGGGAAAGTGGGCATCCTTGCCTTGTTCCTGTTCTTATGGGGGATGCTTTTAATTTTTGCCCATTGAGTATGATGTTAGCTGTAGGTCTTTCATATATGGCCTTTATTATGTCAAGATATGATCTCTCTATTCCCACATTGCTGAGCGTTTTTATCAGAAATGGATGGTGGATTTTGTCGAATGCTTTTTCAGCATCTATTGATATGATCATGTGGTTTTTATTCTTTATTTTATTTATGTGGTGTATCACATTTATTGATTTGCGAATATTGTACCAGCCTTGCGTCCCTAAGATGAATCCCACTTGGTCACGGTGAATAATTTTTTTGATGTATTGCTGGATCCGATTTGCTAGTATTTTGTTCAGGATTTTGGTGTCTATGTTCATCAGGGATATTGGCCTGTAGTTTTCTTTGTTTGTAGTGTGTTTTTCTGGTTTTGGAATTAGAATTATGCTGACCTCATAAAACGAGTTTGGAAGTCTTCCTTCTTCTTGAATTTTTAAAAATAGTTTGAGGAGAATGGGTGTTAGTTCTTCTTTGAATGTTCGGTAAAACTCCCCCGTGAGGCCATCCGGGCCTGGGCTTTTGTTTGCTGGGAGAGTCTTTATTACATCTTCAATTTTCTTAGTTGTTATTGGTCTGTTCAAGTTTTCTATCTCTTCCTGGTTCAGTGATGGGAGCATATGTGTTTGTAGAAATTTGTTCATTTCCCTTAGATTGTTGGATTTGTTGCCATATAATTGTTCATAATAGTTGTTAATGATCATTTATATTTCTTTGGTGTCAGTTGTTAACTTCTTCCCTTTCATTTCTGATTTTGTGTATTTGGATTCTCTCTCTTTGTTTCTTGGTGAGTCTAGCTAAGGATCCATCAATCTTGTTTATCTTTTCGAAAAACCAGGTCTTTGTTTCATTGATCTTTTGAATTGTTTTTTTGGTCTCTATGTCATTTATTTCTGCTCTGACCTTTACTATTTCCTTCCTTCTACTTGCTCTGGGGTTTTCTCTTTGTTTGCTTTCTAGTTCTTTAAGTTGTGAGGTTAGATAGTCTATTAGAAATTATTCTTGTTTCTTGAGGTAGGCCTGTAGTGCTATGAACTTCCCTCTCAGAACTGCTTTTGCTGCATCCCATAGATTTTGTGTTGCTGTGTGTTCATTTTCATTGGTTTCTAGGAATTTTTTCATTTTTCCCTTGATCTCCTCGGTAACCCATGTGTTGTTTAATAACATTCTTTTTAGCCGCCTTGTGTTCAAATGTCTTTGCACGTTCTCGTTGTAATTGATTTCTAGTTTCATGCCATTGTGATTTGAGAAGATGCTTGATATGATTTCAATATTCTTGAACTTGTAGAGACTTAGTTGGTGCCCTAACATGTATTCTATCTTTGAGAATGTCCCTTGTGCACTTGAGAATAATGTGAATTCTGTAGTTTTAGGGTGTAATTCTCTATAGATATCTATGAAATATTTTTGGTCTAGTGCTTCATTTAGAGTCTCTGTTTCTTTGCTAAGTTTTTTGTGTAGAGAATCTATCCAGTGATGTCAGCGGGGTGTTGAAGTCCCCTGCTATGATTGTATTGCTATTGATTTCTCCTTTGAAGACTTCCAGAAGATTTTTAATATATTTTGGTGCTCCTATATTGGGTGCATATATGTTTATCAAGGTTATATCTTCCTGTTGGATAGACCCTTTCAATATTATGTAGTGGCCTTCTTTGTCTCTAGTTATGGCCTTCATTTTGAAATCTATTTTATCAGATATGAGTATGCTACCCTAGCTTTTTTTCCCTTTCCATTTGCTTGGAAAAAAATTTTTTTTTCATCCCTTCACTTTTCATCTATGTGAACTTTTGTTGTGAGGTGGGTCTCTTGTAAACAACATATATATGAGTCCTACTTTCTTATCCAGTCAGCTACTCTGTGTCTTATTATGGGAGCATTCAGTCCATTCACATTTAAAGTGATTATTGATATGTATTTATTTATTGCCATTTTTGTTTAGTGTGGTTCTATTTTTCTTCCTATTTCTCCTGCTAATTACAGCAGTCCTTTTAACATTTCTTGCAGTGCTGGTTTGGTGCTAATGTATTCCCTTAGCCTTTTTTTTTTTGTCTGGGAAGCTCTTTATTTGATCCTTCTATTTTGAATGATAGCCTTGCTGGATAGAGTAGTCTTGGATTCAGATCCTTGTTTTTCATGACCTTGATTACCTCATGCCATTCTCTTCTTGCCTGTAGTGTTTCTGTTGAGAAGTCAGCTGAGAGCCTTATGGGGTTTCCTTTGTAGGTAACCTGTTGCTTATTTCTTGCTGCTTTTAGGATTCTCTCTTTGTCTTTAATTTTTGGCATTTTGATTATTATGTGTCTTGGTGTCGGCCTGTTTGGGTTCTTCTTACTTGGGGCTTTCTGTGCTTCTTGAACTTGAGTACCTTCTTCCTTCACCAAATTAGGGAAATTTTCTGTCACTATTTCTTCAAATATATTCTCTAACCCTTGCCCATTTTCTTCCTTTTTGGGGACTCCTATGATGTGAATGTTATTACGTTTCCAGTTGTCCCACAGTTCTCTTAAGCTGTCTTCCTGTTTTTTAATTGTTTTTTCCTTTGGTTTTTCTGATTGGTTAATTTTTTCTACCCTGTCTTCTAATTCACTGATCCTGTCCTCAGCTTCCTCTACTGTTTAGACCTTCCCATGTGTTGTTGTTGTTGTTGTTTTTTTATCCTCACCTGAGGACATTTTTCCATTTTTTATTCAGATAGAGTGGGAGGGAGAGAGAGGAAGAGAAAGAAAAAAACATCAACGTGAAAGGAACACATTGAGTGGCCACCACCACACGACCCCACCAGGGCCGGGGACAAACTGCAGCCAAGGCACATGCCCTTAGCGGGAACCGAACCTGGGTCTCTGTGGACCACAGGCTACCACTCTAACCGCTGAGCCAAACTGGCCAGGGCCCCATGTGTTCTTTATTTCTGATATGTCATTCTTCATTTCTTCTTAGTGGTTTTTAATTTCCAACCGGTTGATTTTCAACATTTCTATTTCTTTACTCATGGTGCTCATGTTCTCACACATGCTGTTGAGCCTCCTCAAGATCAGGGCTCTGAATTCTATTTCTGTTAACTTGCTTAACTGCACCTCAGCTTCGGTAGAGGTCTCTTGTTCTTTCATTTGGCATTTGTATTTTTGTTTCACCATTTTGGCTATCTCAGTGGGCTTGGAGCCTGCCAAATTTTCTATGTGGGTCTTGGTGTTCTGTTGTTTGTGGCACCCTCTAGTGGGTTTGGATGAGCGTGGGATGACCCACTTTAAACACCACTGTCAAGTCTTACCTTCCTGGGCAGAGTTGCAAGCCCAGGAATGGTTCAGTTATTCTCTAGCTTTTTGCCTGGAGGCTATCAGTAGTGGTTAGCTGAAGAGCCTTGGCTTCTCAGTTGAATGAAAAATTCCCTCAGGTGTTCTGCATAAGGGGATTTTCTGAGGGTGGGGCAGATTCTGGTTGTTAATGAGCCTCAATTTGCATTTCAGTGGCCACCGGGTGGGGTTGAATCTCCAAGGAAGGGGCCACAGCCTCTCACCAGAACCCTGGGAAGGAGTAAGATGACCACTGTCCTGTGTGGCTGCAACTCAGCAAAAGCTCTGCGCGCCCTCCAAATCCTGAGTGTCCCCACACAGTTTTAGTCCAGTATGCCCTCCCTCTGTTAGAGCCCAAGATGAGTGGCCGTGGCTATTTTAGGGTCTGTCCCGGCTCTGCGCTGCGGAGCCGCTTGGGAGTGTAACCCCGAGGGCGCTGCTCACAGCTAAGGCCACTGCTGTCTGTGGGCTCCCAGCCCCCCTCTTGTGCCTCTGCAGTCCTACCAGGATTGAGTCAGTGTCCCTGGTTATATGGTCCAAAAAAGCAAGCTGCTTTTCTGATGCTTTTTCCTGATGATTTGTCTTTATTTTCGTTGTAATTCCAGTTTGGTCATGGGAGGTGGTCTGTAACTTCCATTCACTCCACCGACGTTTTTGCAATCTTTTTGTTAGCTTTTAACTTCCATATTACTGCCCCAAGCTTCTTAAATCTTTTACTTCATATTGATGCCCCAAGCCTCTCATTCCAGAAAACCAAAACCCATCACTCCAGTCAGGCGGAACAGAATGATGGAACCACCTTAACCCACCCCAAACTGCATAAGGTTGCTTGACAAGAGAAACAAGTTTCAGGAGACCCCAGGCCTGACCAATCAAAGATGACCACATCTCCTCGGCTGAATGACCCCCCCCCCCCCCGCCCTAAGTTTAAATATCCTTAGTCTGTACAAGCCGGTTGCCACTCTCTCCTTAGAGGTAGTCCGACAGGCTAATTCCCAATAAACCTGCACTTCTGGAGACCATGCACCGCCTCGTTCCGCCTTGTTCTTACACTGTTTTTGTATTTTTAAATGGTTGTAAACCAAAAGAAGAATATTTTGTGACACGTGAGGTTCCTGTTTCACTGTATGTAAATAAAGTTTTATTGAAACACAGTCACACTCATTCATTCTTATATTGCCTGTGGCTGCTTTTTGCTACAACAGGAGAGGTGAGTAATTGTGACAGACTGTGTGGCCTCCAAAGCTTACAGTTTTCATTTGGCCTTTTACAGAAAATATTTGCTGCCCCTGCCACCACCACTGGGCCATTGGGATACTGATGTGGGGGGTTTAGTTGGGAGAGCTGGAGTTTTTCAGGTAGGAGCACCTTAGAGCTCAGATAGTGATACTGTTCTCTATGTGGCTGGGCTTTAAGTATTCGTAGGCTAGGTCAAGTTGCTCATTCCGGGCTGTAATTTTCCTTTCCCAGTTTTCCAGATCTGTTTGGAATTGGTTTAGTACAGCCTTGGCCTTGGGGCATGAGAAATACTTTTCTTTGTGATGCCCCAGAGGCACCTAAGAAAGAACAAAGGATCAGTCATTTTCTCATATGAAGGCAGAAGCACCTGGAGCCTAGCCCCTCACTCTTATGTGTCCCTTCCACTGTGGTTTCCCTTTTGCTAGAATCCTCTCTTACCATGTCTGGCTGGCGTCGACCCAGATGCGTTGTGATGGTCATTTGAAAACAGGCCTTTTGGACATCAGGTAGTGAGCCCATCACTGTGGCCATTGTCACATCTTCCTTGGTGGTGGGTGGGGGCATTCGCATTGTACATGGGGCATTAGGAACCCAGGTAAACCAGTCCAGCTGGGGAAAGAAAGTAGAACTCTAGTTCCCTGGTACTTAGGGTTTGAACCCCTTTCTCTCCCTTGGGCATCCCAAGGTCCTGACACTTGCTTTCAGGGACCTGGGCTTTCAGCTGTCCATACCTGGCCCTTGTTGATGGCCTCATGCTGGACAGTGCACGTGAACACACACATGGTAAGGAAATGGCAGAGTTGATTCTGAGACTGGAAGAAGACGGGGAAACCTGGGCAGGAAAGGAACAGGGTTTAGAGGCTACAGCATGAGAGGAGAGAAATAAAGGTTGATGTCTTTATTTTGGAATTGATGGGTGTTGGTTCATTTATTCAGATATATGTGCATCAGACATGAGTTTCAATCCAGGCTCAAGCAGTCTAGTTTGGATACCTTAGGCTCACTAACTTCTCTGAACCTCCGTTTCTTCACCTGTAAAATGTGGATGATACTTAACTTATAATTAAGATAATGTATAAAATCACTTGGTATGTAACAAGTTCTTAGTAAATAATTATTGTTATTATGCAAGGGTTGGGGGCTGAAAAGGTCAAGTGATCAAATATTTTCTGCCTTAAAAAGTGGGTAAGAATTTAGGGCTGCTTCCCCCTATTCTCAGACAGGGAGGTACAAGAACCTGAGTTATGAGGTGGGGAATAAGAGAATTCATGGATTTCTAGTGTAGTGAAGAGAGGCTTTCTACGAATGTTATCTCAGGCTACTCATTTTACAGTGGAAATGGGGACTCAAAGACCCAATAATCCTATCAGTTAAGTAGAAATATAATTACTCCCCTTTTATAGATTGAAAAAATCAAAGACTAGAAAGAATAAACTGCTTGTCAGGATACAGTTGGGAGAAGGCAGGGCCTGACCTTGAACTTGAGTTCCTGACTGCTAATTTCAGACAGTTTTTGATTTTAGCACATTTCCTTTACAAGTCTGTTGGGAAAGTCAGGCAAAAGTCAGCTATGAGAACTGAGGGAGAGAGAATTAAAGTTAACATGTGAAAGTTTTATTTTCCAAATGCAGTTGATACTAGTTGGTCAGGGAGAGGAAGAAGAGACTTGTGGGGGCATGTGGAGCCTAAGGGACAGCACTGAGATGTCCTAGAGGAAGTTTGGTCCTGGGAGGGTGGGGTGGTGCAGCCTCAGATTCCCCAGGGAGAGGCTCCTGCAAAGTGCAGGTGTTGGTTTACTGCTCACTGCATCCCCAGGGCCTGGCCTCCCCAGTAAATGTCTGTAGGTGTTCCACAGAGGCAGAGATGTTGGCGAGAAGTGTGAGGAGCAGGGACTGAAGGATGATTTGAAGCAGTCCGGGCTGGCTCATGTGTGCGAGAGAGGGGAGGATGAACCTTGGAGAGCTCAAGAAAGGCTGTTTCTTCCCCAGCAGTTCAATGTGGGTAGGGGGTGTTAAAGCTAGTGACTAGGTCCTTAGCTAGATCCCAGCCAGGGTGGGAGGAGGATGGATTGGCCAAAGGAATGTGAGCCCCAAAGGACAGAGAACTGAGTTTGGGTTTGAGCCAAAGCATGTACAGTACTGAGTGCACCTAGACATGACCTTGCACTGTGGTAAAGTGTGCAGTGTGCATGGACCCTCTGTGTGTGCTGGACAGTAGCAGGAAAGAGAAGAGAGGAAAAACAGAGTGGGTTATTGTGGGATTTGGTGGGATCAGGTAGGAAAATAGACACCATGAAGAGAGATGTGGGCCCTAGTGGGGCCTGGGCAGATCCCTCACTGGCTGTGGTTCTGGACCCACTGGGCCCCGTGCTGTGAAAAGTTGGGGGCATCTGTGACTAGGCATGTGGGATGGACATAAAGGTTGATGACCAGGGTCTCTGAAGAGGGTAATCCTTGGATTTCTAGAACTGTCCTGAGTCTTAGGAGGAGGGAATGGGATCCAGATGCTTCATGTGTGGAGGGAGAGGGGGTGATGAAGGGTTTGGGTCATGTCCCCAGAATGACAAGGCTAAGAAAGGGCTCTGGGTAGAGTGTCCAAGGAGCTCTCTTCTGTGGGGAGGGACCTCACCTCGGTCCTGGGCCTGGCACAGCCCCACCTCAGTGATCTCCCGACACCAGGCCTGCAGCTCAGGGTCCCCTCTCACGGTGTCATTGTCGTGGTAGAAGAGGTGGATGATCCCTTCCACGTACCTGCCCAGAGGAGAAGGGAGCTCAGCTCTGCGAGAGGACAAGGCTGTAGCCTCTGACCACTACTCCTTTTCTGTGGCCTCTGCCCAGTTGACTCTCAACTGTGTCTGAGTATCGATCCTTTAAGGTGCCTTTTGGAACATTCCTCAACTTTTTCTACACATTAGTGTAGAAAGGAATGAAATGTGGGTCATTACTTCTAGAAATTCTCTATACATGGTGGATAGCCACTCTTCCTGACAGAAACCCTGATTTGTCCAGATCCCTCAGTCTCCCCATCCATAGCTATCCCATCCTAGGCTGTCTACCCCCAACCTAGTCTCTTCCTTATCAGACCCCACTCACTGTCTCTTCACTGTTTCTCCTCTCTCCCAGGTTGAGTCTTCTGCTCCTCCTGTCTGGATCTTCTTGTTTCATCTTCTTATTGCCCCAAGCTGACCTCAGGCCAGAGCCCCATTCTCACTGTCCCCACTGCCCATTCATTTGTCAGCTCCCACTCTCACCCACCGGGCAATGATCTTCCAGAGCTGCAAAGCATCGTGAGCATAGAGGGCACTTGGAATTCCCAGCAAGCCCCGGTCAGCCAGATCGTCAGGAGGACAGAGTGAGCGGTAGGTCAGCTGAGCCATGGCCCGACGCATCAACTGCACATGGCCCCCTCCACCTGTGTTCATAGCCTGGGACAAGAGAGATGAGAGACCTTGAGGAAGAAGACAGAGCATAGTATACAAGAGGTTCAGATGTGGGGTTCTCACATTTAAAGATGTGAGTATAAAGGGACAGGCTCCTGAGTGTAAGGGCGGGGCATTCACACAGGTTGGTCTGGGATCTTGAACATGACAGGAGGTCATGCAGAGTTAGGTAATTAGGTGGCCCCACACTTTATTACCCCCTTACCTGATCAAATATACCTCCTTTTGAGATAAGTTGGTTCCGAGCCCGTGTGTTGATCTCCATGGTGTAGCGGGTGTGTGGGATCAGGAGCTGGATGGAGAATGTTGGAGGGGGTGGTTTATGGAGGACTTGCTTGGGCCCTTCTTTATTAGAGAGTGGCACTCAGCATGGTGGCCTTCTCTCCTCTTGCTGCTGTCCTCCCTTCTAGGGCCTTTGCAGGCTGGTCTCCTTTCACTTCTCTGATCACTCATTCTCATGCTCTTTACTCCCCTGTGAGTTAGGCTCTGCAGCTAGACTGACCTGGGTTTCAATCTACACTTCACCATTCACTTTGATCCTCGCCCAAGGTAATGGATCCTCTAAGGGTTAATCTGTGTCACCACCTATTCATCACCCCCTCTGCCAACAGAGGGCGATAGTAGGGTTTCTTATCTCAGGAGGCAGTGGTGATGCTGAGGTGAGCTTTCAGCCTGTATTACATAGTTTTGTCTTGTTATCCTTCAACAACACACGGTGAAGCTCCTGTTGTCCTCATTTAGAGACGAGGGCACCGAAGCCAGCATCTGGTAAGTACTGATGTCAGGATTCAGAATTTAGACCCTGGCAGTCTGAATCCAGAGCCTGCCTACATAAGCTTTATGGCATTTACAGGTTAGTTCTCCTGTGTGTCCTGATAACAATGCAGTTGTTTTCCATGAGGTGATGTCGTTTAGGTGAGCAGATACTGGGGTGGAGAGGGACAAACTAGTAGAAGATGGTGATGCAGGAGCACCATTAGATCAGTTAAATCTAAAATTCTATTAATCACACTGATCATCTTGTGTATGTTACCCCAGACTCAATGAGGCTATAGCTACCATTGGCCAGATTTGGGGGGTCAGGGTATGAGCCCTCGGCTTGAAACACAGTTCAGTTCTCCTTACCCAGGTACTCATTTGTATATCTTGCCAACATTTTAGACTCTGTGGACCTAACACTGAATACCTCATATTTGCTTCCAAACTGACTTCTTACCATGACCTTTCTGTTTTTGACAGTTGCTCTGGTTCATAAATTTGTATCAGTGTTGTCCCTTCTCTGTCATGGTCCCTATACCTAAAGTGTCATCAAGATTTTGAGATACTTTCAAACAAGCACAAGTCTTATTTGATGCCTTCTGCCTAGTAGTGGATACTGAACTCACTCTTTTACAAAATTCAACACACCCACCCTGTGAGCTCTTAGGTGTTTCAGCTTAGACCTTTGACCTTTTTCTCTTCAGTCATTCCCAGGCATGTGCACCTGCTATTTTCTTGCTTTATCAAGTCTTTGATTTTTTTTTTCCTTTTCATTTCTGTTACCACCTTGCATGTCTTTCTCCACCTCTCCTAGGCAGGTATAAGTAACCTCCTGGGGTGTTCTCCTTGCCTTTTACCCATTCCTACAGCAGACTCCTCAGTTGGGGTGGGACATTATCCATCCATACTGTCTCTTGTGATCTTAAATTCTAGTTCTAGGTATTGTCCTCTGGTTGGTTCTATGGGCATCACTTGTCTTCCTGGATAAACAGTAAATATCCTAAGACAGTAGCAAGGATTTTGTTTTACTAACACTATTCCAACAATACTGTAGGCTCATTGCTAGATGGTCAAGTCTCTGGAATTTCATGTCCCGAAGAAACATTAAGTGACTTGATGCAATTAAAATACAAGTCTTAAAATATCGATACAGTCTTCCTGCTCCTCTTCCCTTTTTTTCACAAATTGATGTACACATTATTTTTGCTGCTGCAATATCATTTGACATTGTCCATTTCCTCTTGGATCTGAGTGAGGTGGGACATGGAGGGGAGAGGATGTACCTTGAAGACAGGGTGCAGTCCTGGGAGGCACCTCATGGTGGCAACAGCGATGACCTCAGCCAGCAGATGGGTATTCAGCAGATGATATTGGAGTTCATGCAGTTGAAAATCTGAATTTCGGACCCATGACTTTGCCAGGAGCCAGGCAAGTGGAGGATCTGAGGGCAGGAACAGTGGTGGGGTGGGGGAGCTGAGGTTGGGAGGTTGGATCTGGGAAAAAGAAATAAAATGTTTATTGAACTTCCACGTTATGTATGACATTATGGTCAGCCTTCTTGGAGAAACAGAGAGGATAAGTAAGAGTATTCTTTTCCAGGAGGTCATATCTAGTAGGAGGAATGAGGACCCTTCCACTCTGCCTCTCTCCAGCTGTGGGGTCATATGAGTGCCATGATGGTCAGACTGAATGCAGGAGAGTCAGAAGCAGGAGTCCAGTAAGGAAATTCTAACTGGTTTGGAAGAAACGTGATGGGGTTCAGAGTTAGGGTGGGGGGATGAAAAGGAGAAGCTAGATGTGTAAGATAATTGACAGTACTTAATTTACTGACTGTTGAAAACTTTGGGAGAAAAGATATTCAGGAACCAATGGGTATTTAGAGTCAAGGCTACTGAGAGATTAAATAGTGATTCTCAAAGTGTGTTCCCAAACTAGCAGCATCAGCATCGCTTTGGAATTTGTTAGAAAGGCAAGTTCTCAGTCCCCATCCCAGATCTACTGAAAAATAAAATCTGGTGGTAGACCCAAAACCTGTGTTCTAATGAACCCCTCAGGTGGTTCTTACATACACTAACATTTGAGAACCATTGAGTACAGGATGAGAACCTCAAAAGGCCATTATGACTTTTTTGTTGTTGTTAATCCTCACCTGAGGATATTTTTCCATTGATTTTCAGATAGAGTGTAAAGGGGGAGGGAGGGAGAGAGAAAGAGAGAAAGAGAGAGAGAGAGAGAGAGAGAGAGAGAGAAAAACATTGATGTGAGAGAGACACATCAATTGGTTGCCTCCTGCACAAACCCAACTGGGGCCAGGGTTCAAACCTGCCTCCCAGGTATGTGCCCTTGACTGGGAATGTAACCTGACACCCTTCGGTCTATGGGCCAACACTCTAACTGCTGAGCCAAACCGGCCAGGGTGGCCATTATGACTCTTGAACAAGTACTTCCAGTTGGGTGAGTCAGGGAAAACCAGGCTGCAAGCAAAGAGTGACAAGAGGACAGGTCTCACTGTGTGAGGATGGAATTTGGGAGCCAAGAGCCAGGGGACTGGGTCTCTGGGAGCAGAGGTTGGGATGAACAGAGAGAAGTGTTGGGGGGAGAATGCCCAGGGCACCTCACCTGGATGACCATGGGCAGCAGCTTCCCACTGGGTTCCATCTTCAGCATGACGAGGGGGGCAGCCAGGTACTGCTTCTCTCCTTGGATCTCGTTGGCTGTAATTCCATCCAGTAGGATGAAGTCAGCTTCAAACAGGGAACCCTTCTGGGGAAAAGAGGAATGTGTCCCTGGTTAGAGTTCAAAGTCTACCCTCAGAGGAACAGGGCAAAGGGGAAAATACATTTAAAGATATTTATCTTCTGCCCTGGCCAGTTTCTCAGTGGTTAGAGCATCTGCCTGTGGACCAAAGAGTCGCTGGTTTGATTCCGGTCAAGGGCACATACCTTGGTTGCGGTTTGGTCCCTGGCCCTGGTCAGGTCAGTGGGAAGCAAGCAGTTGATGTGTCTTTCTTGCATTGGTGTTTCTCTCTCTCTCTCTCTCTCTCTCTCTCTCTCTCTCCCATCCTCCCTCCCACTCTATCTGAAAATAGATGGAAAAATATCCTCAGGTGAGAATTAAAAAAAAAAAAAGACATTTATCTTTTATTAATCAATGTCACCCCAATAAATTTAATTTAAAAATACAGAAATTTGCCCTGGTTGGTTTTGCTCAGTGGTTAGAGGGTCGGCCTGTGGACCAAAGAGTTGTGGGTTTGATTCTGGTCAAGGGCACATACCTCCATTGAGGTTTGGTCCCTGGCCCTGGTTGGGGTCGTGCAGGAGGCAACCAGTCCATGTGTCTCTCTCACATTGATGTTTCTCTCTCTCTCCCTCCCTCCTTCCCACTCTATCTGAAGATAAATGGGAAAATATCCTCAGATGAAGATTAAAAAAAAATAGACATTTATCTAGCTTCTTGCCATTATCCTATATGAGTACCAGAGTCCTATTGGCAGAACTAGAGCATCTTGTCTAATTCCTCTTAATTTAAATAAATGAAGAAAAACAACTTAGTGTGGATTGGTGCCTTGTGCAGGTTTTGTGGTAGCAGATCTGGGTTTAGAAGCAGGCCTCTCAGTCCAGTTTGCATCACAGGCATTGCAAACTGTCCCACTGTCAAGGTGGCTGTGCCCCTTTCCCATCATTCCCCAGCAGTCTGCTACCTGTGTTTGGCTCCCATCAGCTCAGCAAGTGCTTTTTCACTTCCTGTCCAAATCTCACCTCCTCTGCCAGGTAATCCAGAGGTTCCCCTGACTACCACTGCCATGGAAACCGGACACATGCATGTGGACATGCTCACATCCTGCCTTGTTCGTCTGCCTTACATCCAGCTCATCTTGTCTGTATGCAGCTTTCCACCTCCAGGAAACAACCTCAGTTCTCCCCACCTGACAGTGCATACTTCACCTTTTTTTCTGCCTGTGAAACTGATATTGGGAGCACTGACATCAGCCAGGGCATGTCATTGTCCCAGCAAACATCTCTGGCCCCACCTGTATACACCTTGGAAGTCCATGCTGGGAGTTCCTCATAGTTTCTACTACATACTTTATCATCTGTTTGTTTGTTTGTTTGTTTTCCAGCAGAGAACTCTGCACGCAGGGACAGTGGGTTACCACAGCCTCTTTTCCCAGACTCACCTTTGATCTCTTCCCTTCACCAAATTCTCCCCACACAGTCAAAGAGAGAACAATGTAGGGTGGGAGGGTGTACCTGGAGTTCTTTCTCCAACTGGGCCCAAAGCTCCTCCATCCCTGAGGGCAGCACCAGCCGGGAGGGCAGAGAGGTGCAGCGTCTCAACAGCATGGGGTTGGCGCCATTGAGGAACTGGTAGCCAAAAAACTCATCATCCTGCCAGCACTGGTGAACCTTCTCTGTGGGGTCAGGGTAGAGGTTAGGAGGAAAATATTATTAATTTTATTTCAATTTATTAGGGTGACATTGGTTAATAAAGTTATATAAGTTCCAGGTGTATAATTCTATAATGCATCATCTGTATATTGTATTGTGTGTTCACCACCTCAAGGAGGAGTATGTTCACAACTCAGTGTCCCGCCTCCAGGCCCTACCCCAGTGATTCGGGCATATGACTATCCTGTATCCAGCCCCTCTCTGAGATGATGTCTCATATGGCAAGCATTATTGGGGACTATGGAATGTGGAGATAGGGTCATCAAAAGGGGCCATCAAGGGGTTATAGAGACCTGGGGAAACCACTGACCAGCCAGGGTGCTCTTCTGGTCCCAGATCTGATCAAAATCCTCCAGATGGTTCCAGGAGCTCAGGAGGGTGTTGACACACTTGAGGGCCATCTTCAGTGCTCTAGGACAGGCATTGAGGCATGAACCCACTCACTGATTCCTCACCCCTCACTATTTACCACCATTCTTGGATCTCCCAGCCTTTATTCCACTCTGAGCTCCACCAGGCTTTTCCTCACCCTGCCTTCAATTTCCAATCGAAGTCCAGCCTCTTCTCCTCGTGGAATCTCGTATTTGGAGGTAGATCATCCTCACTGCTTGCAGCTATTGTCAGGGGTAACCCTTCCTTCCAGGTGGCCCAGCTAGGACATGGGGACAAGGCTTCAGGAAGGGTGTTCAGGTCAGTGATGCCAGGGTCAGGGAAGGGGGGTGTGAAATTTGGGGGTCTAATATGGGTGGGTGGTCACCAGTATATTTGTTGTCTTTCCTTCAGTTCCTTCTCTCGATGTTTCTGGAACACATCCGATGCATTGTCTCCTGCCAGGCGGGCTGGGAAGACATTAAGACAATTGACCATCAGTTTTGCATGGTCCTGTGTTCTCCCCAGCTTGTCCTCACTTTCCTTTTTGTGTCATAGTCCACGTGTTCAGTTGTGCACTGTTGCTTTTATCTCACTGTGCCTCCATTTCATTGATTCCCCAGACACATTTATCCCAACTTTGAACTCCTGGTTTCACTTATCTCAGCCCTCGTCTCTTGCCTTGAGACAAAAGTGGCATGCTTGCCACCCTTTTCTTGTCCCTTACTTCATCTTTTCCTACCTTATTCTGTTTAATCAATATCTATGATTGAATAAATCACCTGAATGAAGGTGATAACATCTTCACGCCTATGCCCACACCTGTTTTCTATATATTGCTTTGATTAATTTTCACTTTTTGAACCTCACCTGCCACACCTCAAAAGCTGTTTGCCTCTATCTAAAATGACGTCTTCCTGCTCTTATTAGTACTTATACTCACCTGTATCAAAGTCATATATTTCATGTTTCCATCCTTACTTTTTCTTGACTTCACTTGTCTCTGTATTTCTGTTTCCCACAGTAACTAATTCAATAGTTGCTGTCCTCTCTCAACCCCAGTCAGTGTGCTCCCTGCCCTCACAGTTGTCTTCTCTGTTTTCTCAGCCAAACCAGCAGCTCTCCAGTTATATAATTTACTGCTCCCTTACCTGTCTCCTCCCAGGGGTCACACCCACTATCCCCTATCCATGTGCTAGCTCACCTGTCCCAGCCCTAACCTGTTCCCAGTCACACAGAGCTCCCCTTGCCACTGTCCTTGGGCTCCTCTGTTCCCAGCATTGCTGCAACTCCATTCCCTGCGCTCACCTTCTCCGCAGGTGGGAGCTACATACACATCATTATTTTCCGGTCAGTCCCACTCCAGCCTTTCTAATTCTATGTATAACTTTGGCACTTTATAACTTTCCCCCATTTTCTGTGTTGTCCACCCTTAACCTGCTGAGCACACACTATTCAAGCCCCTCGGACCTTCCGCAGTGCTAGCCCTGCCCACTCAGTAGTCCCGAGGCCCTGCACCCACTTCCCTGAGGCGCCCCTCACCGGTGCCCTCGGGCAGGCTCAGCACTCCCTCGCCCTGCACCCAGCGGTAGCACGGGAAGGCGGCCTCCGCGCTGTCGCCAGGACCCTGCACCGTGATGCGGTCGCAGAACCACGCGTCGTCCACCAGGGAGTGGTGTTTGCGCAGCTTCACGAACTGCAATGGCCCCAAGTCCTTGGGGACGTCTTGCTCAAATTCCTCCACCTGTGGAGACAGGAATCCGGTGAGAGTAGAGGGGCCTGGGAGAGGCTGGTTTACTGGGGGTGCGGGCGTCCTTTGTGGAGTCCGGTGACAAGGCCTCCAGAGACAGCATTCCCTCCTGCCAGTGCCTGTGATGTGAGACTCAGGTCTCACCGAGGGACGCGGGCAAGGCCCGCAGTCTATTGAATTAAAGACTGAGCATTATCACGTACACCGCCCACTAACTGAGCTCTCAAGGCGCCAGCGCTCTGGCTCTCCGAGGACCTGCCTCTTTGACCATTGATCCCATAATGACACTGGCTTGGGGTCGATTGAAGAAGTAGTGGAGGCTGTGAGGACCACGGTGGGAGGGGGTGGGGGTGGGGGTGGGGTGGGAGAAAGACATTGAGCCCCTGCCGGGCTCTGGCTCTGACCCTCTTCCTGCTACGGTGCAGGCGTCCCAACTCCTGGAAGTCCCAATGGGCGTTCGCGCTGTTCGAGCCCGAGGCGGGCACTGGGGTCCCGACTATCCCTGCTGACCTGGCCCCGCGCCGGCCGCAGCTGCAGCTCCAGCTCCGCCTCCCCGCACTCCCCGACCAGCCACAGCTGCACGCGGTTGAACGACCCAGAGAAGGCCCAGGCGCCGGTGGCCACGCGGATGCGGTAGCGGACCATGGCGGGTTCCCCGTAGCCAAAGCGGGGGGTAGCCTGGTTTTGCGATTCTCGGACCTCCCAGGGCTTGACTCTAGGCGTCTCTGGGCCAGTTCGGTGCTTTAGAGATGGGTCTGGGTCCCCGCCTGCCTTATAACTTTCAGGCGTTCCCAAGTCTCTTCCCCAGACGAGCCCCAACTTGCCAGCCGCTGAGCAGGCTGTGGGGAAGGACCACGCCTACCGCCTACCGGGTCCGAGAAGATAAAAGGGCCTTCGGTCTGGGTGAGGCCGAGAGGATGGATGGGCTGTGGCGTCTCTGAAGCTCCCCAGCAAGGTCTGGGGCCAAAAACCTCCAGGTTGGCGGGAACATGGAAGAGGACATTTCCCGAGGTCTCCAGATCTTTTGGAGAGCTAGTTGATAAGAGAGGGCGAGTTGGCCTTCCAGAGGGGAAAATTTCCCTTTTTCTGGGCTGGGACCTTGGAAAGGCCAGCCTGGGAAGCTTCGCTGGGCTGCTAGACTTGTTATCGTCCAGTTAAGTCTTCAGTTCCTAATTTTTACCGAATTTGAGCCCAGTCCTTTAATAATTGACCAGAGGTTCCCACGTTGCTTAGAACCTTAGAATATGGAAAAGTAATAGCTCAAGACTTGCTCCCTGCTTCTCTGGTTTCAAACATCTCCTCATTTGGACCCTAGTTACACCAGATCTTGAGAGAGGCCTAATTGAGGCAAGCCTCCTTTTGTCTAACCTTCTTACTGTCTCCCAGGGTGTGCTTGTCAAAGAGATACTCTGCCATGCCAGAGTCAGGGGCCCCCAATCTGTGCAAGTTAATTACATGGTCACCCAGTTCTTTGATGGATTTCACATGCTAATCGGGTAGTGAGTTTCAAGGAAGTCACACAAGTGAGGGTCATTTTTGTCAGTAGCCAGTTTGTGCAAATCCAGTAGTGACTGATTTCACACTTTTTTCCAAGTGTAATGCACACTCCATCGCATTCAGCCCATTCTCCCAGTCATCACGGTCTGGTTTCTTGATATCCTAGAGGAAGATTCGGCCACCTTGTTGGTTCTGCATCTTCATTAGTTTCTCAGAATGTTCCCTCTCTTCATGAGATTGGTAAAAAAAGTATTTGGCAAAGTTCTTCAAAGCCACATCATCGTGATCAAAGTAGTAAGACATGGACAGGTAGACGTAGGAAGCGTAGAGCTCCAGGTTGAGCTGGCGGTTGATGGCGGCTTCTGAGTCCTGATGGTAATTCTGGTTCACCTGTGAGGTGGACGCGGTGGACGTCATGGTGGGTGGCTGAGGAGAGGCGGCTGAACGGCGCTGGAGCAGGGTCTTTGGGGATGTCCCAGGCGCTGTGAGGAGGTGACCGAAGGCTGGATCAGGTGGCTGGGAAGGATGGGTTGAGCGCTGGGTTCTGTCCAAGCACTGTTGAAGCAGGAAACCATGGGGATTCTCCGCGGATACTGTCTCCATGTAATTTATTTCTGCTCTAATCGTTACTATTTCCTTCCTTCTACTTGCTCTGGGGTTTTCTTTTTGTTTGCTTTCTAGTTCTTTAAGTAGTGGGGTTAGATAGTCTATTAGAAATTCTTCTTGCTTCTTGAGGTAGGCCTGTAGTACTATGAACTTCCCTCTCGGAACTGCTTTCGCTGCATCCTATAGATTTTGTGTTGTTGTGTGTTCCTTTTCATTGGTTTCCAGGAAGTTTTTAATTTCTTCCTTGATCTCCATGGTAACCCACTCATTATTCAATAACATGCTATTTAGCCTTTGTGTTTTCAAATGTCTTTGCATGTTCTTGTTGCAGTTGATTTCTAGTTGTGTGCATTTGTGATCTGAAAAGATGCATGATATGACTTCAATCTCCTTGAACTTATAGAGACTTAGTTTGTACCCTAACATGCGGTCAATCTCTGAGAATGTTCATGTGCCCTTGAGTAGAATGTGAATTCTGTAGTTTTAAGGTGTAATTCTCTGTAGATATCTATTAAATCTATTTGGTCTAACAATTCATTTAGAGTCTGTGTTTCCTTGTTAATTTTTTGTCTAGAAGATCTATCCAGGATGTCAGCGAGGTATTGAAGTCCCCTGCTATGATTGTATTGCTGTCGATTTCTCCTTTGAAGTCCTCCAAAAGATTTTTAATATATTTTGGTGCTCCTAAGTTGGGTGCATATATGTTTACCAAGGTTATATCTTCCTGTTGGATAGATCCTTTCAATATTATGTATTGGCCTTCTGTATCTCTAGTTATGGCCTTCATTTTGAAATCTACTTTATCAGATATGAGTATAGCTATCCCAGCTTTTTTTTCTTTCCGTTTGCTTGAAAGATGTTTTTCCATCCCTTCACTTTCAACCTATGTGAGTCTTTTGTTGTGAGGTGGGTCTCTTGTAAACAATATATATGTGAGTCATACTTTCTGATCCAGTCAGCTACTCTGTCTCTTTTTATCGAAGCATTCATACCATTGGCATTTAAGGTGATAATTGATATGTACTTATTTATTGCCACTTTTGTTTAGTGTGGTTCTATTTTTTTCCCCTATTTCTTCTACTAGTTACAGCTGTCCTTTTAGCATATCTTGCAGTGTTGGTTTGGTGTTAATATATTCCCTTAGTCTCTTTTTGTTTGGAAAGCTCTTTATTTAACATATTTTGAATGACAGCCTTACTGGATAGCGTAGTCTTGGACTCAGATCCTTGTTTTTCATGACCTTGATTACTTCATGCCACTCCCTTCTGGTCTTTAGTGTTTCTGTTGAGAAGTCAGCTGAGAGCCTTATAGGGTTTCCTTTGTAGGTAACTTGTTGCTTATCTCTTGCTGCCTTTAGGATTCTCTTTGTCTTTAATTTTGGGCATTTTAATTCCTATGTTCTTGGTGTGGGCCTGTTTGGGTTCTTCTTACTTGGGGTCTGTGTGCTTCTTGAACTTCAGTGCCTTCTTCCTTCACCAAGTTAGGAAAGTTTTCTGTCACTATTTCTTCATATATATTCTCTAACCCTTGCCCATGTTCTTCCTCTTTGGGGACTCCTATGATGCGAATGTTATTATGTTTCCAGTTGTCCCACAGTTCTCTTAAGCTTTCTTCCTGTTTTTTAATTGTTTTTTCCTTTTGTTTTTCTGATTTGTTGATTTTTTCTACCCTGTCTTCTAATTCACTGATCTGGTCCTCAGCTTCCTCTACTCTGCTGGTTAGTCCTTCCAATGTGTTCTTAATTTCTGCCATGTCATTCTTCATTTCCACTTGGTTGGTTTTCAGTGTTTCTGTATCTTTACTCATGGTGCTAATGTCCTTACTCATGCTGTTGAGCTTCCTCAAGATCATGGCTCTGAACTCTACCTCTGATAATTTGCTTAGCTGCATTTCATTGATCTCATCTTTGATAGCGTTCTCTTGTTCTTTCATTTGGGATTTGTTTTTTTGTTTCACCATTTTGGCTATTTCAGTGGGTTCTGGAGCCTGCCAGATTTCCCCTGTGGGTGTTGGTGTTCTGCTGTTTGTGGCTCCCTCTACTGGATTTGGATGGGCCTGGGTGGACCCACATTAAACTGTCAAGTCTTACTTTCCTGGGTAGATTTGCAAGTCCAGGAAAGGTTCAGTTATCCTCTAGCTTTTTCCTGGTGGCTAGGAGTCTCAGTTACTTAGTGCCTTGGAATGTAGCCCTGGTGTTCTGCATAAGAGGATTTCCAAAGGGTGAAATAGATGCTGGTTGTTAATGAGCCACAATTTGCATTTCTTTGCCTCACCTGGGAAAGGCTGAATCTCAGGTTTGGGGTGGGGGGCTGCTGCTTTTCCCCACAGCTAGGGGAAGGAGCACAGTGGCCACAGTCTTTTGTGGCCGCAACTCAGCAAAAACTCTGAGTGCACTCCAAATCCCAGGTGTCTTCACAGAGTTCCAGCTCAGTCTGCCCTCCCTCTGCCATAACCCCAGGTGAGTGGCTGTGGCTATTTTAGTGCTTTGTCCTGGCTCTCTGCGCTGTGGAGCGGGCTTGGTTTTTATTCCCCAGTGCGCTGCTCAGAGCTAAAACATCTGCTGTCCGTGGGCTCCCAGCCTGCCACCCTCTCGCGCCTCCACAGATCCTACCAGTATCCCTGGTTACATGGATTTGTCCAGCTGCTTTTCTGTTGCTTTTTTTCTGAGGATTTGTCTTTATTTTAGTTGTAATTCCCATTTGGTCCTGGGAGATCATCTGCGTAGCTTCCATTCACTCCAGCTCCATTTTCACATCCTCTATGCCTATCTTGTGTGTAGCTGGGTCGCACAGACTTTTCTGGTGCCCCCACACAATGCAGGTCCCATGGGTAATTGTATTGCACCGTCCCTTTGGGGACCTGGCTCTATGCCTATGTTATGGGCTGCTGCGTTGCACAGGCCTCTCTGGTGCTTCCAGAGGCCTCATGGGCAACCAGATCGCACCATCCCTGCTGGGTCGCACAGTCCTCTCTGGTGCTTCACCGCCCCCCTTCAGCATTTCTTGCAGTGCTAGTTTGGTGGTGGTGGTAAATTTGTTTAGCTATTTTTTTATCTTTGAAGCTCTTTATTTCTCCTTCAATTTTGAATGATAACCTTGCTGGATAGAGTAGTCTTGGATTCAGACCCTTGTTTTGCATTACTTTGTACACTTTATGCCACACCCTTCTGGCCTGCATCGTTTCTATTGAGAAATCAGCTGACAATTTAATGGGAGATCCCTTGTAGGTAACTCTGTCTTTCTCTTGCTTCCTTTAATATTCTTTCTTTGTCTTTAATGTTTGAGATTTTCATTATGATGGTCTAGCTGTGGGTCTTTGGGGTTTCTCTTGCTTGGGACTCTCTGTGTTTCCTGGACATGTGTGACTTTTATCTTCACCAGTTTAGGGAGTTTTCCTAACCTGTTTCTTCCTAACCTGCTTCTTCAAACAGCTTCTCCATTTTTTTTTTATTATTATTATTCCCCTTTCGATATCCCTGTAATGTGAATGTTGTTACATTTTGTATTGTCCAACAGCTCTCTTAAACTTTCCTCATCCTTTTTAATTTTTTTCCATTTCCTGCTCTATTTGAGTG